CTGCTGCTGTGGTATTAAATCATTTCCTTGAATGGTGTAAAGCTTTGTTGAGAATTTATTACACAGGTGCAGTGCCTGCCTTCTGCACTCACTGCTTTAGTAGAAGTGATGCTTGACTTATAGTTTCACAGTTCAGGCAGCACTTAGAGTTTTGATTAAAACAGGAGGAAGTTCTGCTACATAGGGAGTAAAAGATATCCTGGCATGTGCATTTGCACTTGACTATTTTCTGTGTTGGTAGTGCATTTCTTTCTCTGTTAGAGTCCCTTGGTGCACTGCTGTGTTAAGTGTGTGTGTATGCAGAATTTACTATGTCACTTGTTATACTTTCGTTTAATAGTGTCCAGCTTATCTCTTCCCAAGTCAGCAGTCACTTTTGCAAGGAGACCTTCAGGATGTGGACCTAGGTTACTGTGAACTTCTGACTCCTGTGAGCAAAACATTGGACAATGTTATAAGCAATGGTGGCAGATTCAGCCATATACATCGCATCAGCTCTTTGTTTACGAAGCTGGTCATATTCTCTTACTCCTCCTGACTTGCACATACCTTCAAACCATAGAAAGGCGTTTTGTGATAGATTTCCTGTTCTAAGCAGCTGAACTCTTCTTATACACACCGGAACAGGTTGCCCAAGGAGGTTGTGGATGTCCCAGGCTTGGAGGCATTCAAGGCCAGGCTGGATGGCAGCCTGGTCTGGTGGTTGGCGACCCTGCACATAGCAGGGAGGTTGAAACTAGATGATCATTGTGGTCCTTTTCCACCCAGGCCATTCTATGATTCTGTTCATGGGAACATCTGTGGAAGTTTTGCCCATTTTCTTATTGTTTCTTGCTTGTGTTTAGTCTAATTGTTCGTTTCTTATCATGTCTTAGAGTCTCTGGATAGTTTCCTTGGAATGCACATGTATATCGGATGGCAACATGGGAATTAGCATAGAGAAAGAAACAGACAAAGCAGGGAAGACATCTTTTTGTGTTCTTGACAACTCCTAGTCTGAGGCCTCTTTTGTAAGAGTAGAGAAACTCCTGACAGAGGAAGAACACTGAGAAATGCCAGGATTTTGGACAACTCTTGGGGTAGCATATGATCTCAACAGAACTCCTGTGAAGAAGATATGTGAGAGTGTGGGCTTGGAGCCTACTGCACTTCTACCTCTGTCTCATACCTTTAGTATTTTCTTTCTCCTCTTCCTTTTCTTTTCTGTCCACTGAGGTACCAGGATACAGTACGACTCAACATCTCTTCTGTTCACCCATGGTAGAAGTCATGGTTACTGTTTCAGTGTGACTCGTGTAGGAACAGCCAGCATCTGACAATAATTTCTGTTGTGATACTGCTCGGTAAAGTCTTCCAGTGGGAAAGGAGGTCATAGAATCACAGAGTATCCTGGCTCCACACACAAACTACAGAAAGCTCAAACTCTGTGTCTGAAAGCATTGTCCAAATGCTTTAAGCCCAGCAGCATGGGCTTTGCTCGCTGCCCTGGGGAGCGTGCTCCTGTGCCCACCCACCCTCTGGTGAAGAACTCTCCCTGATGCAGCTCCACGCTGTTTCTTGGTTCTGTTGCTGTAACCAGTGAAGAACTAATGAGAGTTACTTGTTTCTTTTGTTTCACTAAAATTACCTGGAAAAGATAGACAATTTTCCTAGGTGAAGATGAATACAATGTTACTTGAGCGTAGATCAGATGGGGAGAGGCTGAACAGCCTTGTACTCCGTGGGTTTGATGATGTGTGTTATGGGTATGAAGGTCTTGCAGGCTCCACAGGCAATGCATGGGAAAAGTGTCGTTGGTATTGTATATAGGTATGAAAATGATAACCTGCTTACTAGATACAGTGTTTTTTAAATCTTTGAAATTTATGTATCTGCATTAGTTAAATTGAAGAAGCAAACAACCAGGCTGTACCACCTATTTGTGTGCTTCCCTGCACGTGTCAACTGTACAGCACTTTAGTATTCTCTTGTAATGCTCTTGACACCTGTCTGGTAATCTTTATACTTTTCCATTCCAATTATGCTTACTATTTCCCTTTACACATACAGTGCAAAAAGTGTCACACACCAGCAGGATAACTCAATTTGCTAGATCCCCAGTGTTCATGAGGCATTTCCAGTATGGTCTTTCAGTTGGTTGGGAGCATGCAGAAAGCTGTCCTCTTCCTGCTTAGTAGGATAAAACACTTTGCTGGGCCTGTTTAGCCTTGCATGCTGGTATTCTAAGTCAAGGTGGCTGGAAGTACCCTAGGTCCTTGAGGTTGCTGTCACTTAAAACAAGCGTACCAGCCTAAGGAAAAGGTTCTTTGTTACAGCTTTTAAAAAATTCCTGCATTCCTGAAAGTGAGTATTGATCACAATTCTTATATCAAAGAAATGTTACCATCAATGTTCTAACAAATGCATAATCGGGAAAGAAGAGCTCCTTTGTATTTTCTGTGCTCGAACAGAATGGGGAGTGCATCACCTGTTTCACATCACAGTTATGTCCAGTGTTATTTACTACACATTTTTCAAGCCATAGTTCTGTCCATTGGGCTTAAATATATCAATGACCACTGCCTGCATTATAAATTTTGCCACATCAAACAGATGATGGTTCACTTAAAGGTATTTATCAGACCACTGATCCTTATCGAATAGTTCTGACGGAAGACAAGCACAAGGAAGGTATCACAAGAGCCATCCCTGTGATTGAATAACAATGAGTGATGGTCACTTCACTGGTCAGAAATGTTGCCATCCTCTATCCAGTTTATAAGTGAATTCCTACAGCACCCAGAAATTCTCATTTACTGTCTGCATAGTCATCTTCTGCCCAAGTTTTTACTTTTGTTCCACTTCAGTTCTTACTTCTTAACTTCAGTCCTTGCACCTGTTCTGTTTACAGTCAATTGTTCTTTTAATGGAAATGCTAGAAATATTAGGGGAGAGGAGGCAGAACTCAAGAGACACGGAGGTGCCCCTGATGCTTGGTGTGAATTTGCCTGCCAGCAGTGTGGTAAATCAAAAATTGCTTTAATGTAGAGCAAATTATGGATAAAAAAATTTTAATTCATGCCTGTTATTTTATTAAAGATGTTAAGGTAGGGTAGAGGAAACTTGATAAGTTACTTGAGATGAGGTTTTTCGCAACCCAAAGAGAGATTTGTTTCTTTGGACAACATTTGTTTCTTGATTTCTTTTAATTTTTGAATATATAAATTTAAAATGTTTATTAAAACTATCTAAATTTATGCATCATTATTCCAGTGGGAGGAATGTGTCAGAACTTCATTGTTTTGATAGTAACTGCCATCTACTTTCTGACTCAAAATTCATTCATGGCTTCTTTATAGTTGCACTTTTGCTAATGTTGTCCATTAACATATTCCACTCTTTTACATCTCCTGAATTTTGCTAGGGATTTTGCTTAACTGACTAATCCAAGATATTTAGTCTCCTTTTACAGAACGTGTTTATTGTTATTCACTGCTTCAAGCTTGAGTTCATCTTTCTTTACATGAGCCTGCAGTGTGATATTCAGCGTTCTTGCTGGGGTCTTGTAGAACTGTAGGCACTTGTTTCTGCTGGGACTGCTTTGATTCTTGCATCGTAGGCCTACAGGCAACTTTTTCAAGTGTTCATACTGTTGATGTTATAATGCTACTCATGTTTGTGCTCTAATCATCATTACTGGAGGAATTGTTTGTATTAGTCACTGTATGTAAGATCTTGCTGTTGTCTACTGTTAATTTGCATGCCATTATCACTCAAAGTACCCACCTGAGATCATCCAGGTCTTTATGTATGATATTTCTACACGTGCTTTTCTACGCGTGATGTTACTTGGTGTTACCAGGACATTTCGTTAGCGTTCTCTTGGTATGAAGATGAAGCTTTGATCAAAGTCTGATTCTGGAGGAACTCCATTTGTAACTGTCTGACCTGATGGTTTTCTATTCCACACAACCCACTGTTATCTTTGTCATTTATGTATTTAGTTCATTTTGTATCTTAACTGATATGGCATGGTATTGAAAGCCCATACCCCACAAGGCATAGTCTCAAAAGTCCATATAGGCTTTCTCAATTTCCATTATTTAGAAAACGAGCTGTCTCATCAAAGGATTTGATGCCATCTACCTCTGGTAAACTCATGTGGTATCTTTGCTGATGATCAGTTCTCTTCTTTGTCTTTGAATTTTGAAAGGAAGATTAATTATGTGCAGTAGCATGCTGGCTTTTGATCAGATTCGTAGAACTGACATACTGCTTTTTTCTCCTTGGCAGCATGTCTGCTGTTTTTTCTACTTGCAAGTTTATAGATTTATTAAAAAATCTTATCTGCTGGATCTTTGATCTAATGTGCCCATTCTTTCAGAACACTGGGATGAAGGTGATCCAAATACTGTTCAGTAAGTGCATTTTCAGCTCCATAGTCCTGCTTGCAGCTAAGTCATTTGTCCTATATTTTAACGAGCTTGCACAATATTGTTTTGCGTTTGGGTTGTTGTTAAAGCTATGCTCACAAAGTCACAGAATGGCTCAGTTTGACTTCCTAAACACAGTGATTTTTGTCACTTGGCAGGGTTAGAAATGCTTTTTTTTTTTTTTTTTTTTTTAAAATCTCTAATGTTATGAGTAATGAAGAAGGGACTGGAAAAGAATACTAACAGCCTCAGTGGTAGTGTCTGTAGTGCTCCCTCAGCAGGATTATTTTCACTGAATATCTTCTTTACACTTATGGAGAGGTTTGTGAGTGGAACTGTAAGCAGGATCATGAGACTGACTTGACTATAAACTAGGTGGCTAAGAAAGACAGGAGGGAAAAAAATACCTTGATGTTATTTTTTCAATCAGATTGTTTCATGTTTTATCTCGCCGCTTGGCTGTATAAATATTACCATTAGTGTTGTGGAATGGTACTGCACCTTTCATCTGCACCCGCTGCTAATGTCAGATTAAATTGGCCGTGTAACTGCAGCCTGGAGCGATCCCTCTGCTGCAAGTCGTGGTGCACTTTAGAGGCACCTGAGCCAGTGGCAAGTGGACTAATTCAGTTGTTTTGCTTCTCAGCAGTCTACTATGAGGATAGGGAGGATAGACTGTGCTCTCTTTTCATCACATCGCTGGGAAGAGGCAGGTGATAGCAGAACGAAAACAGAAGAAAGTACCAGCTTAAATCTATGCAAGAAACCTTCTAGTGATTGTGGGTGCTAAGTATACTCATCAGGCATTTTTGACTAACATTAATGTCTTACCTAAGCAGGCAAAGGAAGGTATGGTATGGGCCATATGGTGCACAAACCCATATTGTCATTATTATTCCCAGCAGGAAATTTGAAGACAGAAGTACATGCTGATTCACAGTAATTTATTTTTTAGATCTCTTGGTCCAAAAATTTGGAATCTTCTGTGCTAATTCCTCCAGGTTCATTTTTACAGGAGAGTTAATACTGTATACTGTTCCCACCATTTTGTCACGAACCAACTTCCTTGAGACACCCAAAATATAAAATCTATCACTGTGCTTGGTTGGATGGGGCCAACCAAGAAATATTCTATTTTATGACTGGTTTACCAGTCAGATGCATTAACTTCATGAATTTCATTGTACGTGTAAATGAAAGTAAAAATCTGTGAGCGTTAGTAACCGATATAAAACCAACTGTGAGTTTCGTGTGACAGCTCAGTGTGGTGGCTTGTGCAATCAGTGACTTGCCACCCAAGGCTCCAGGTCTGTGACAGGCCTCTTTCTCTGCCTTCCAGGGAGGATACGTTTACCACTTCTGCCTTCAGTTTTTCAGTTACTATTAATTTCTGTCTTTGACAGAGAGGTCAGCTTTTGTATTCACAAGTCCATTTTTGATTGGGTAAATAGCAGTGGGAGCTTTGGATTATTGAGATTCAGAGCTTTCCTAGCATGTAAGACTACTCCATAAGACTTTTCCATTATGGCAGTAATGTGCCACCTCCTGCTGAAAATGCAAAGGGAAGAGCTTTCCCGTTCCGTAAGTTCAGTGACATGGAACTGTGCGTGGATTATAAAGCTCTTCAGAATGCAGAAGTGCATGCAATTAGAGATATACCGTGCATCAGAAAATATCCAGGAATACATTATGGCTTCAAAGTAGTTCTCGGAAACTGCTTCTAAATCACATGGTGGAGTAGCATTGAAGAGACCAATGCCTGCCTACTGTGGCGGTGAAAATAGAATAGAAAATGTAAATGATTCTTTCACTGTCGAAGTCAGTCTAATATTAGCCCTGCCAGTGCCTGGCTGCTCGTCATTTGGATGAAAGGAGGAGGTAGCTGCCAGCCAGGAGAATAAGACCAAGGCTTTTAAATACTGTTGTTTGGGAAATCTTATTAATGACTTCATGTAAGATCGATGTGCAGTAAGTCTTTCAGGCAGTATCTTTTTAAAAGCCTTCAGCAATCTGTCATCCTCGCCTCCCTCCCCCCCCAGTTATAAAGCCACATTAGTCAGGAGAAATTGCACAGTCTTGGGAAGTTTCAAACTGCATCCGCTGATGCTGTCAGGAAAATGCTACTGTGCAGGAGCACAGGTGCGACTGCATTGACTGCTACTCTTCATCCTCGGCTCGGGTCATCCTGGAGGGACGAGTGGAACGAAACGGGGAGGTGGGCGAGATTCTGTCGGATGCGTGGGAACAGTACAGGAGAGAAAAATGGAATGCCCTCGTCCAGGAGACAAAGATCGCGCTGTCTGTAAGTGCTAGCTCAACTTTTCCAAGCCATGTTTTGAGAGAGAGGGAGAGATTTTAATACGGTTTATTTGGTTGGGAGCTTTGCCACCTGTTAAGCTCATCTGTTAGGCTTTGTAGATAAGCAAAATCTTTTTCAAACCGAGAATTCAGAGCTTGTTGTCTGTTTGGAGGTTGTTTGATGGTGTTCCTGGACCACTCAGCTTTGAAAAACATTTCTGTATTTTAAGAAGAGATATTTAAACCCTTTATTTTGTGCAGTCACATTAAATGCTAATTTTAAGGTTATTCTGCTCCGTTAGCTATGGTTGAAAGCTGGAGCAGGGGGCTTACTAGATAGTAAATTTTATCTTAGTAAAGAATTTGGGGTGTGGGAAGACCCCATCTCTAATGGAGAAATCTCTAATGGAGAAATCCTGAGTCATTTAGTTCACGATGCATCAGCAAAAATAATTTGGGTGTGGCTTTCATATTCAGCTGCTGTTGTAACACAACCATGACAGCTAACAACATCTTATTTGTGATTACAAAAGTTTTTTCTCAGAATATGCATAAAATGCACATATTAAAGTGCAGTGTTTGTGTTTGCTGCAATAGATAAAGGATATTTGAGAAAATATCAATAAAAAATCAGCTCTCTTCTGCAGCTAAGAAATCCTCTATGATAACAGCCTTTCCATCATGTAGCAGTATACAGCATTGTGTGTTTGATTTTTTGTTAATATTTGACTTGCTTCTGGTATTTATTTTTGCTGTAGGCTTAGAGTTGTGAACAAGAGGATTGGTTCTGATCTTTGGTTCAGTTTAGGAGCTGGGTTTTTTTCTAAGTCAGTGCTGTGTGGAAAGTGGCTTTGAAATAAAGCTTGGAAAAGGGGTAAAGAACAGAATCTTGGGATTAGATTGAGACTCAACTGCTTTCAATGGCCAAGAATTACAGTTGTCATTAAACATAAGTATTTGAAATGTAAAATACATAGGCTGAGAGAACTGTGAATAAGGAGGAAAGGGAATTTTTTTTCTTGATTCTGGACATGAGAGCTAATATAAACCTACAGTATATTATAAATTTCTGTTAAAGTTGGATGTCTTTGCAGTGTGACATAGTAGTGCATTAGAAAAGTCATACAGAAATAAGCAGGAGTTTCTATTGTTCCTGTTGTTCCCAGAAAACCCAGCTTCTTAAAATCTGGGAAAGTTTATTCCTATTTCAGCCCATGAACCATATCAGACAAGCTGTTTCACTTACTAACCAGATTCTCCTTGTCTAGTCTTTTAGAAGTGCACAAAAGAATAATGGCTTTTTGATTATTGGCTGTCCTGAAGCTGTTCTCCATTTCAAGAATGTGTTTTTGACAAGTAGCACAATAAAATGATGTTCTGGTTGTAAATGTAACACCTCTCTCTTGTATCTAGGTGATCTCAGAAAGTGAATTAGAAGACACAGCTTTGAAGAAACTTCAGAAATAAATACATCATATTGCTGAAAAACCCTATCTTGGTATCCTCACTTGCTTTAGATGGTGGGGGTCCAACTTGTTGGCTTGCCTGGGCCACGCTGAGTGAAGAGTGATTGGCATGGGCTGTGTATAAGATTGATAATTCATGTACTTATCATAGCAAAACTTCTTTTTAATCCACTATCAGTGTGCGGTGGGCATGAGAGGCAGAGTTAGCCCTCATGCCCTTCCCACTACAGTGTTCAGTTGTTGCCTACACGATCTGCACTCAAGCTGCACACCATCAGTTTGTGAAAAATATCACTAAAAAAATCATGTAATAATGTTAAAGTTGATGGTATTTGGGGGACTCGTTACTGACTGTCCCAGGGCTGCGTGTGGCCTGTAGGCTCTGGGTTGGACATCTCTGGTTTAAATGGCATTTCCCATTAGTAACTGGTGCTATGATGATGATAGGCAGGCTGAATGATGACTGTGTCATTCTGATATAGGCAACTAGGAATGAGTAAGTGAGACTGATATTCAAGCATGAGCAATACTAACTATTCCAATAGTATCCAGTTTGAGCGATTGAATGTGAAGTTGAAGATTGAAAATACACAGAAATAGATTCCTTTAGGATAATATGGTTCTGTATTAATAGTAGAATGAGATTTTGTATTTTACATTTCCCATTCAAATCATCTACTGAAACAGTGTTGCTATCCCTTTCCCTGACATTCTAACAGTTTTCTTTCAAGACTAACTTACACTTTTTGTACTCCAGCCTACCAATCATTGCAAGGATACATTTCTGTTATGTCCAGAATTTCTCAATCTGAAACTGTAGCACCTATAATATGTGGATAAGCATCAAAATCAACTGGGGGGTTGTTCATTTTAATTTTTATTTTTTAATATTGGGCTGTTGAAAAAAGAATGCATGAATATTAAGAAAGAAAATTAGGAGGCAAAGAAGCAGATTCTGTAAATTCAAAGCTATGATTTATCAGGCGTCATACGTATTAGGATATTAAAGTATTGGTTTTTAAAGCTTCATGAGGATTGTGAGTATTAATTATAATGTTTCTGTTGCTAGTCTTGAAATGTAAGTATATAGTGTAGCATATTTTAATGCTATCATATTGCAAGGAAATGCTTGCATAGTCTTTGACTGCATTGGTTGAAGAAATCCTCAGTGAGTTACACAGCCTGCACAGCTTTGCAAGTGAGAGGCTTGTCAGTAACACTTAAAATCAGACAGTATCTAGGACATTAAATATAATGTCAATAAATAGTTTGTGTGTTTATGTTAGTGTAGGCTAATGTATGACGTAGGTGATATTTCTAATAAAAGAGAAGTTGTAAACCTCAAATTTTATTAATGAACAAGTTGTAAAGCTGAGTGGGCCATGCAAGAGAGCTCATTTGTAATGGAAGTTCTTCATAATCTAATTTCACAGAGGCTTCAACCCACTTCTTAGTTCTTTCTGTACCCACATCTCAGATAGTATAATGGATTTAGAAAAAGGAAATAATGGTATTTTTTCTTAGAGCACAGGGCATAATTCTTCCTCATTTAAATTAATAAAAAATGAGGTTTTACAGTGTGGACTGTAACTTTAGCTAATAATCTCTTAAGAAAAATAGGGGAGAGGAAATAGGTGGCCAGAGGAGGTGTACTAGAAGAGGGTTGCCGAAGTCCAAGTTCTACTTGAGAAATTCAGAGGCCATTGCACATTTACTTGAAGGAATATGTGATAAACATTCAAGTTAAATTTTAATCAATTATAATTTGCCAATTCAGTAATCAAAAAAGTCAAACTATAAGGGGGACATTTAAAAAGCCTTTGAAAGGTTAATCAGAAGGATTTTACTTAAAACCTAGTAAGGTGCTGTATTCTACCTTGATTACAAGAACAGATGACATCGTCATCACAACTACAGTCTGATGTTTCATTAACATTTGAAGAGGTGTTTGATTTGTTTTGTTTAGATTTTCATTTCTGTGCAGTAGAAATTACACTAAGTTAACTGTGTGGTTTTAATGTAGTGTAAAAATAAGAGAGAAGAGCCAGGCATTCTTAGGTCTATGCAATAATTCACTTACTAAATATAGCATTCAGGATTTTAGCTGATTCTCTCTGGTTTTAGTGGACAGAGTCTCTCGCTGCGTGTCCCTTCCTTTGCCTTCTTTTATCCATTCCTGTGGGGAAATGGAACCAATCTAAACAGCTTTATGCTGTTTTTCTTGATCAGCTTTTAAGAAAATGATCTCATAGTGTATCATTCCCTCCTGTGCCTTGCACATTTAAAGTGACCTTACACAATCAGAATAAAAAAACCTCTTTTTTTCATCTCCTGGAATGCTGACAGATTGCTTTCTTCGTACTGAATATTTGCTCTGTGGTGGTTTTGGATCATTGGCAAAAACATAGTTTGCCTTTCCTTTAAGTTGGCTGGTGCTTGCTTGAATCCCTTGTAATGACGAGCTATCAGCAGTGTGGCCTTTCTGCAGTGACCAGAAGGAGAAGTAATTTTACCTTATTTCCACAACAGAGAGGGAAGAAAGCAGAACACAGGAGATATGCCCAAAGATAGTGGGCAAACCCCTTGGTATATGTATTTTGACAGCTGTCTGTATTTAGGTGAGTATCAATAAAGAGAAGAATAGTCCCGTGTCCTGCTTGTGGCAGGTGTGATTGAGATGATTGTCATCACTGAAGACAGCAAAAACATTTTTTTTGCTTTTTTGGATTTGCAGATTACTGAGGTGAAATAGTCTTTAAACTTCTTGGTTTGTTTTCACGCCCAAACACAGTATTTGAGGTGCAGTCTCACTAGCTGTGTACAAGGGCACTGTCACTTCCTAGTCTTGTTGGCCTTACTATTTCTGATGCAGGCCACGATGCCATTGGCCTTCTTGGCCACCTGGCCACACTGCTGGCTTATGTTCAGCAGCTGCCAGCTAACACCCTCAGGCTCTTTTCTGCTGGGCACCCATACTGCTGTGGTTATGACCAACATGTAGCACTCAGCACCGAGCCTCATTGGATGCCGTGAGGCCAGACTGAACTCCATTCACTGTGACTGAGCCCAGCCATCAGCCAGATGAACTCACAGAGCTGTACATCTGTCCAAACCAGGAGAATATTGTGGGCAGCAATATGAAACGTGTTACTAAAATTGAAGTATCCATAGTCTTTACCTCATCTGAGTGTCATAGAGGTAGATCAGGCTAGTCAGGCAGGACCTGTCCTTCATAAACCCATGCTGGCTTCACATCATTTGTTTGTCTTATCTATACTGAATGACGGCATTCCAGATGACCTTCTCAATTACCTTGTCTGGTACCAAGGTCAGACCAATAGGCCTGTAATTCCTGGAGTTTTGTCTACACCCACTTGTCTAAACTTGGAACGCTCTTGCTGATTCTGTCTGAAATATCCATGCTACCCTAAGAGCCTCCAGTGTGTGTGGGTTTGAGTTGTTCAGGTGTGCTGGCAGTGTGCTGCCTGCTTTGTGTGGAGACCATTTCCAGGAGACATGGTTATGCATGTCCATTCCATTTGAAGTTTTGTCCTGAAGTTACTGGGGTAATTTAACATTGCCTTACATAAAAGAAGTATTCTAGTCTATTATGTTTTCTTTTGCATTTTAATTAAGTAATTCTGGTGAAGAGGCATGTTGCACTTTTAGGGAAACATAGCTTCTTTCCTGCCAGTCTAGGATTGAATTGTTTAATTAGGGTTGTCTGCACTTGAAAAAGTACTTGATGGTGAAGAAAGGATCCTTGGAAAAATGACAGGAGGTGTCACACTAAAAAAATTCCCACAAGGAAGTGAGTCATTAATGTAGGGTAGTGCTTTGCAGCATCATTGTCATGAGTGAGGGGACTGCCTGCACCTGCACGGAGCTGTGAGCTGGTATGAATGTTTGAGTTTCAGGTTGAGTGGACTCTGAATCTGATGTGAGTAACTCAAGGGGAGTATGCAAAAGTGTGCATCTGCATGCTTTCAGTAGATAAGACTGGTCCAAATTGGACTTTGGTGATGGGTTAGAAATAGCCCTGCCAGTAACAAGTTCATTTATTAAGCTAGAATTGATGATTGCTTCAGTTTTTCTGTACAGCAAGCAGTCATTTGAGGTTTGCTCATGTTGGTTCTTGGTCATGGTGGAGACTATTTTCACAGCTTGTTTCTGCAGACCTCCGCAATTGTTTGCCAGTTACAGTGGAACTTTTACTTCTTACTGTTCTTTTTGTCTCCCTGATAGTAAGCTACAGTTCTTTAGATGTTTTCTGTTCTTCATACGCAGTTCTTACCTGGTTGCAGATTACTGTGGGAAGTTGGTAAAGATTGAAAATGAATTTCTAAGCAACGAGACTGAGAAGTTTTCTTAAAGCAAAATCTCTTTACATCGACTGTGTAGAACTGGAGTCAATGTACATTTACTCTTCATCAAATATGTAATAAATATTGCTGTATGCGTGAATGCTAGCAAATAACAGTTATTTAAATCTAGATATCCAGTTAGGGGTAAAAAGAGAATGCAAAAGTCTGTATAGGTAAATATTTAAAAATGTGAAAGTCCATTCAGTGGTGAGCAGAATCTCATGCTTACTCTAAAAGATTTCCACAAGGATTTTTCTTCAAGTAGTGGTTTTGCCAGCAACCTCAAGATCTTGATTTGGGTTGTTTTGTCTTTTTGTTTGTTTGTTTTATTGTAATTTTTTTTAATAACTGTGACACTCAGTTGCCAGAAGTGCCAGTGTTCTCAGAGAGAGCAGAAGCCATTTTCTAGATATATTTTTTTCTCATTTGTGTAAAAGGCTCCTTAGGTCCCTAATCTGTACTGAGTTTTCATTTACTGAAGTTTGAAACGTGCTCTAGTTTTCAAGTTTGCTTCAGTAGAAGTAACACAAAATGTATTGATTCAGTTTTTATGAACTTAAGAATACAGTGTCATCAAGTGCTCTGGAGACACACAAGAATATTTTAAAATATATTGCTAAGTGTTTAGTTTATGTATTGGTTACGTGTACGTTTTAAGCTAAAGAAACATCTGGTAACCTGGAAAAATATGGCTTTGAAAGAAGTTGGTTGGTTGTATGTTTCTCATCACACCGTATATTGACTTTTGCAACCTTTTTCACTGCAGTCAAGATAAAACTTGAGAGAGACTGAAAACAAAGGTTTGACTTATTTGTTCTTGCTGTGACACTGTGGGTTTTTTCCTGTTACATGCCTCATTGCTGACTGCATTGTTTAACTGTGCTTCATCATGTTATAGTCATATTTTATGGTAAATAGGGAATATCTTTTTCTCTTGGTTTTGGTTTGGTTTTTTTTTGGTTTTTGGTTGGTTGGTGTTCTCAAATTTTTCCTTTTATTTTTTTTTTAACTCTTTCAGAATTCACCACTCTACGAGTATCTGCAGGATTTGGGACACACTGATTTTGAAGTATGTTCACCTGTGTCACAGAAGGCAAAGCAATGTGCAGTAGAGGAAGGCCAGAGAGAGAGGACTGTGCACACTGCCCAGAAAGTGAGTGTTCTCCTTTTTCTTAATATTTATCCTCCCAAAGAGAGCCACATTACTTCACAGATAGGCATAATTGGAGAGGATAAAGATGGAATTCTTACTGTAATAATTAGAAAGAAAAGTTAATAGTAACAGTTTTCATGTGTTGTCTGCAAGTATGTTTAGGAATATCTGATCTGCCATTTTATTTTGAGATGTTCTTTGCTTTTATGTGAATTAGGGAAGAAAAATGCTTTGATAGTAAATTCTGTAAGAGTTGTAAATGACATTATTTACTGGATATTATTACTGTGGCTTGGATGGTAATTCTATGAATAACACCTGCGATTTTCTGGAACAAAATGTTTATAAGTCCCAACCCTTCTCAATCATTCAGTTCCTAAATGTCACTTCTTATGTAACAAAATACTAAGAAAGAGGATTTCTGGGAAGTAGAAATACCAGAGCCAATCTGAAGGAGAAAGTAGAACAGTGCTTAGATTCTGGCAATTTTTTAACAGTAACAGCTGACAAGGTCCATCGGCTAATAAGCTCAGACTTCTTATTTTTCTATTATTTTAAATAAAGGCTAATGAATTTTTATGATCATTTTTGTATTAAAAGTATTCTTGAGAATTAAGAGCTTGGAGAATACTGAAATACGGTAATGCTGTAAAATATAGCATTAATTTGGTCACTTAACACATACAATGGTCTACTCATTTCTTGTTTTCCTTGTTAAAAATAAATGTGATTTTACTCTTATTGATAGCATGTAGGCCATGTGGTTCAGCTGATGATCTCTAGTGCGGGTGAGGAAATTTCAGTCTTGAGGCAACCAATGTACAACTCTCTTTGCTAGTCCTAAAAAAGCAAGTACATAGAAAATTCCATAGTCAGACAGTCTGTCTGACTATCCTCAAATCAGGGGTTCACAACCCTTTCCCTCTCTTTTGTAACCTCTGCTGCTTCCCTGCTCCACAATATTCCACCTTTCTGATTAGCTGGCAGTGAACTAGGGAGCAGTGTGATACAAGTGCTCCTGAGCTCTCCAGAAGGTCTCCCTGCAGGATGTGGTGGATGGGGGGATCATATAGTGAATGAGGTGAGCTGATATTTCTCTTAGGCTTCTCTTTTTTTTTTTTTTTTTTCCAAATAGTTCTTAAGATGCTTCAAGGAATGAGTCAGATAATAGTTGCAATTAGTTAGGCGTTATTTCAGCATAAAACTTTCAGTTTTGAATGTGTCCTTCCTGTTCCTCCTTCATGTCAGATCCAGGCATTTTTATTTCAAGGTCTTTTAATCTGTTCTGCTCTGTGTGGGGTCTTAGGTAGGTAGGCTTCAGAAGTATGTGAATTGATGTGGATGTCACTGTTGTTTTTCTGATCTGGAGATGGTGCACTTTGTTACGAAAAATAAAGTAATGCAACTATGGAAGTCAGTACAGCAGTATGATTCTATGTTCATGTATGTGTCTTCCACTGAATTTAATGCGAAACTGCTATAGGGTTAAGAACCTTGAAAGTGTAATGATGTACTGATTTTAAAAGCCTCAAGGATTCTGTTGTTTGGTTTTTTTCCCTTTGTTCCCCTTCAAATATTTTACTGCTTTGGGAGGAAGTCCTCTGGTATTACGTCAGCTGAAGAAGTAATTCATCATGGCTTGCTGGGCTACTTGAAAGCACAGGGCATTTGAAAATGGATTGCACATTTCTTACGAATACCAGGATGACATTCATACTGTCTCATCTCAGTCTAGACAAGGATGCATGTGGGGGAAAAAAGGAAGAAACATTTGTGTAATTGGTAGTGATAAAATTTCGTAGGTTCTTCTAACTGTTGTTTCAGTAATTTGGGAACGTCTTTTGTAATCTAATGTCAGAAAGTCTGTTTTTGTGTCCCATTTTTGGCAGAATATTTCAAAAGGAGAGAGACAGCTTGCCACATGTTTGAAGAAGTGCACCGAAATAAGGAGGATCTGGGCCTTTGTTAAAACTTCTCTGTGACGTACAGGCAAATCATTTCAATTCCCATCCAATCATTTCCTCATTTTTAGATCGGACTGTTATCACTTCCCTTCTCTCACTGTTTGCTGATGTAGTCTCCTGACATTATAAAATATCCGGGAAGCAAGTGGTTTCCAATCTCTGAATACGTACCCCCTCCTAATGTGAAATGATCTTAGCTGAGTCTTTAGGATAGCATAAATAACATGAACACAGTAGGTGTTCCATGTCGAACAATGCTTAGTACATGGATATTATTTTCTTTCTATTGTGAAAAGCAAGTTTACAAATGGCTTCAACTTTAAAAGATACTTCAGAGTTAAATCTGAAGAGTACAGATCAAGTGCATAAAAAAATAGAGTTTTGGCTTTCTTGGTTACTATAGTCCATCTATCTTTCCTACATTTTCTAACGGATCTGAAACACCATGGCATCTGAAACAATACTCTTTTCTTTAAAAGGTGGTTTACTTTTTAGGGGGAGCATCCAATTCTGCTTTATTTCTCCATCTTCATCCCATTCTGCTAAATACAGGATTTGTTCTGAGTAGAAAAGGAGATAAATAATGTTCCTGAAGAGAAAAGTAAATTAATATTTTTTTTCTAGGTTGTCAGCTGACTGATAGTGGAAAACTCGTATTAGAAAGGTTGCAGTGTTGCTATGTCTTTGAGTTGGGATTGTTTACTCCTCTTGTAAGGCAAGGGGGATCCCTGTTCAGGTACAATCTTGTGACATACAACAGTATTTTGGCAAGGTAAAGATCTAGTGTGGGATCTTAGTAGATTGAAAAATCAAATCTAGGAGATAAAGATGTTCCTAGTGACTGATAATAACGTTGCTGTGTTTTGCTTTCCTACAAAGCAGAGCATGTCGTTCAGGCTTAGTGAGAGATAAAGGCATCAGCTGAATTTGAAGTGCACCTTAATTAGTTTTTTGGTTGGTTAGTTTTGTTTTGTTTCCTTAATCAGGTCGTGGTCTTAATGAACACTGAAATGAAAAGCTGTAAAGGTACTTCAAGACTGCTCTGAGGGCTGAGGGAGTATAGAGAAGTGGTTTAGCATGGTAATTACAGTTGCAGTGCTTCTGGCTGTACCAATCTCAGGAGAAAGTTACAGCCAAAGTTCTGATCTCATGGTCACTTGATATTCAGAAGCACTGTTTAAAGGAAGCTTTAGATTTGTTTTCTGGAATTAAGCCAGAATTATTTGTGCAATTCTGCTTGATCTTTAAGGAATATGCTTCTTTCATATACATTTTTCCTTTCTCATTCATTTTCCTAGACTGCTGTGCATATCTGAGTGTCTTGACTGATTTTACTCTCACCTCATCCTGACTCCATCCTGACAGTTATCATCACTAGAACAACGCAGGTACTAGAGGCAGATATTTAGCATTCTGTTGAGGCCATCAACAGAAATTGGAAAGGAGGGACAGGTCCTTGCCTTTGCCTATGGCTTCCACCTACGTAAGGCCAGCTTGGAGTAGCTGGAAGGTTTTACTGCTTAGTATTAACATCTTTCTGAGCTGCACAGAATTGGAAGGCGCCAATATTAATGATGGTGTTTTAGATGCTGCTGAATTGCCATTTCAAGTTCACCCTGCATAGAAGAGAAATATTTCTAAGAATTTTATTTTAGGTTCAAAATGAGTGATCCTAAAATGTTTGATGTTCTGTGCTACTTTGTAAATGTTAGACAGTGGATATCTTCAATTCTGCCAATTAAGCTTAGTAATAAACTTAATAATAATTACTTATTAAGCTTATTAAGAGAATTCATTTGGCTGACTCGCTTTCTGATGTTGTAAGAATGATGCTCCAGAAGCACTAGCAACATGACCTGACTTGTGCGTTGATGCAAGTTGTTTTACTTGTCAGTAACACTCCCAGTGGGAATGCAAGCTGTGAGACACTGTTCCAGGGAACTGAATAATTGAATGTGTTACTGCACTCTACTGGGTCACAGCCCAAGACAGTGGGTTGTCTTGTTTTGTTTTCAAGCACTGACATGCCTGTTGAGCATTTATGCAAGCTCATATTTTTATTTTTAATCTAAAACGTGGCGAGTAAACCAAACAGTTATGTAACACATCAGTCTGGTTTTTTCAGTAATTCTACAGTCTAGTTTAGTCAGCTGGTAGCAGTTTAAAACTGTCTTTGGTGTAGATTTAAATGCTTATGATAAAAACAGAAGAACTTCACAAGGCCAAGCAGTGGAAAAGCTCCCAGAGACATCATTTTAAATGAACAGCTCCTTTTGCACTTCACTGTTCTAAGGCAAGTACTTCAGAACAAAGTATTTGCCTGCTGCTCAGATGTAGAACAAAGTATTTGCTCTTCAAATGTAGGGCAATGGCTTTATTTATTTCATCTCAATTTTCCACAAATTGTCATCAGATAATTTTGTTTTGTTTGCACCACTTCACAAGAAACTCTACCTTGGAATATCATCTACTGCTCCAGTTTGTGACACCCTTCTCCCCCTCAGACACATGGCAGTGCCCTTAAGTAGCCTTGAATTCTTTGCCCATACAGCAAAAGTGATTCTTGCTTTTACCAGCATTACTGATAGTGATGATAGAAAACAGTAGGAGAACAGGCCTTTTTATTTTTTGATAGCTTGACTGTGTTGCACTTGAAATTCTGTAACATGCTTGAAATCCCCATCTGCATTTATTCTGTAGGCTAAGTAGTGTGAATTGCAGGGGTAGCCCTTCTTAACAAGACTTGGTGATAGCTGTGTTCTGGAAAGAAGCATCATTACAAAAACCATATTGTCAGTTTGTCTATCTACTGGTCTACTAATTCTTTTTGACACAGGTCTGTAGTTCTAACTGTATACTGAAAAGTGCATGCAAGAAAAACTTGAGTTAAGTTACCTAAGTGGATGCAAAAGTGAGTTAATTCAAAAATTGTTCTGTGAATCATAAAGGCTGCAGAGGGACAATTTCTGGTGTTGTTCAAAGCCATTCTGCTCTGCATCAAAACTTCTGTCAGTGCCTTTCAGAGGTCTGTTAAATTGATTGGTGTGTCTGTTCTAGCTCCCATCACTGGCCTTATGTGAAAAAAATCCCAGGCTGAGCACAGCTCAGTACTTTTGTTGTTTAATTTTATTCTTCCGTTTCCAGCCTTAGAGTTGGAAGCGTGATGGAGAAGTTTGTGTTCCTCTTATCACAGAGCTGCTTCAGGGGCATTTCTGTAGTTTGCATTGGAACAGGGTTGTACCTGGAATCCTGAAATCAGAGGCTCAGTGTCGGTTCCTCTGGGCAAGTGACCTTTCAGCTGTTTTTACGCTTCTCTGTCTTAAAAAAAAGAGAGAGAAGAAAAGGAAGAAGCTGATTTAATGCAGATACCGTTTATAGACTAAGCTCTTATGATTTTTTTTTATTGTTGATGTGAGGTTGTTGTTTTTTTGTTTGTTTGTTGTTTTTTAAATAGTATGGCACAAAATGTAGGTGCTTCAAAATTCACATTTTTTTGCCCTACATTTCACTTGATTGTACTGTGTGTCAGCAGTTTGAAAATTGACATGTAGGGCCTCAGAATTCATGAAATAGTCATAGGTAAATACTTTGAAGAATATTTCCTGACAGCTCAGTCTGAGGAAAGTAGATGTAGAGTGTCTGTCCAAAACTTTGCCTTTTTCATGAGAAGTCTGGAGAGGGAAGCAGAGTCATGCATCTATTTCATTATGATATCTTCATATATTTTAGGAAGATGTGCGAGTAAAATGCGTGGTAACAGAGAGCAGGTTCCCCTAATTAGTGTTGCTCAAAGTTACATTTACAGCTCAGATGAAGCTGTGTATTTAGATTTCATGGTAGAGGCAACATGGGGAGAAAAGTAGCTGATAGCAAGTGCTGGTGTGACAGGGAGTTTCTGAGACAATTCCTGTTAAAATCATGCATCCCTGCTTCTGTTCACTCATCTTTCAGTATCTTGTCCTCCAAGGAGAAGTTCCTCTCCCAGTCTTCTACTTTTCTTCAGTTTCAATCAGCCATTTAACACTGCTGCTGCTTTTTTTTATCCTGAAGAAGAGAGAAAATCTTTGTACTGAGTTGTTGCCAATCTGAGATAAAACAAATTCTAGCTGTATTTATTTTTAACAGTACAGCATAACAATTCATTACATTCAGTAGGTGGGGTGAATGAAGCTTTATTTCACAGTCTTGTGTACAGGCAAACTGAGCGGAAGCAGATGTTCCCGTACTCTGAAGTTAGGCCAAATAGACTAAGGGAAACTTCCTTGCAGGTACATGTGTCTGATTTAACAAGAAAAGAAATAAAGAAATTGTCTGTCTGTTATTTCTTCCTTTTTTTTGTTTTTAATGGAAAGAATTTCTGTTCCTTTCAGCAAAGCATCCTGTCAAAACTAGTTGAGTTCTTCAGAAGTTGGTTTCCCTTTCCACAATATAAGAAAAACGATGACATACTGCACCGATTGGTAAGAGATTTTTTTTTTCCTTTTTTATAATTTCCTTTCCTAATCCACAGGTCTTCCCCTCCTCTGTACCTTCTCTTCCAAGCACCATCTTTAGTTTCTCTTGGTTTTTTTTTTCCTTCTAGCAGTTTTACTTAATCTTTAGGCAATATTGTTTCAGGTTCTCAGAGGTAGGATGCATGGCAAATTGGGCACACATACAGTGAAGGAAAACTGCCAGCAGCCAGCTTGAATATATTCACAGTGTAGAAGAGACGGTCAGAAATTAAATAAATTCTTGAAAGCTGAAAGGAATTAATTCACATTAAAACTGCCCCAGTCAGTGGAAGACACTGCAAAAACACTGAGAAAGTCCCTAAGTTGCATTCAGTGACTTGCAGACACAGCTCAAGATGAAAGCCTGTAGAGCATCATTTAGTGCCGCTTTGCCCTCTTACAGCTTCTTAGCTCAGGCGTAGCAGTGTGCTTGGGCAGCTCCACCACTCTTGGTCCTGTCCTGGGCTATGTGTTCTGTTTCTGCTCTATTCTCCATAGTGCTTTTGCATTTGGGAAAAGCAAAGTAAACGAATGCACCACCATGGAAATGTTGTGTTAGACTGTTATGGAATCTAACAGTTAGAAGTTTGTTTTCTCTACTGTGATGCAAGAATGAATCACTATATGTAACTTAGGGGAAAAAAAAAATGTTGAGTTATATGAGAAGTTAGGAGTTTCCATTTCTAAGAGTTCATCCGATTGCTATCGCTTCTCCCTCATTTGAAGAGGCAAGATCTCTGCAACATCTTGTTACTGACTGTCCTTTTAATTCCCTTCCTCCTTGTTTCTCTTTGAATTAGAACTTTTGGCTTCACAGCTTTTCTAACCTTAATTTCTTGAGACAGAAATGCAACCAAAGAATATGGAAAACGTTTCTTCTGCTGCCTGCTACTTTAGGGTAACAAAATGACACAGGATATTTTGGAGGATGGCAGTTTCCTCTTGAACACAGCCCTAAAACTATGTTTTCCAGTAAGTGTAGAGTGCAAGTAGTGAAAGAATTTTAAAGAATTTAAAGAATTTAACTAGCTAGTTTGTGAAAGCCTGGGTTTTCATAAATAATCTAATTTGGTCAGTGCAGACTAAAAAGCTTCTGTAATGTGAAATGTCAAACTTCTGTAAACTTCTGTTAACTTTTGCTCTCCTTTCCTTCCTGTAATCTAGCTAGATGAAAAAATGCCACATGTTCGGTTTTGGTGCTTATACAACATTCTCAATTGGAAGGGTTCTGTATTGATAGTTTGGTGCAATATTTTGGCATAATTTGACGTGTTTTCTAGATATCACTACTGTCTAGATCTGATCACAAGTCAACGTGAAACACCCTGCTAGGCTGAAGTAATAGATAGAAAATTAGTTTTTAAATTTAAGCATGTTTAGAAAAGTGAGGTAGCCACTACTGGTATACCTGAAATATTTCTGAATCTTCAGGAAGAGTTAGCTGCCAGTGAAGTGTAGGGTGTCTGGATGTTTTCCTTGTTATCATAACTTAATTTTAAGAGTTTACATGTTCTTTACTAACACTTGTTTTTTCTTCTGCTTATTTGTGGTAAGGATGTTGGATTTCGATTTGACACGCTCCGTACCATCCTGCAACAGGAAGTTCTGCTGCAGGAGGATGTGGAACTGATTGAGTTCCTTGACCCGAGTATCCTGTCTGCAGGGCAGTGTAAGCAACAGGAAAATGGACAGCTTCCAACACTACGCTCCCTAGCAACTCCTAATATTTGGTATTGTACAGAGAATATCTGTTACAGTGTTCACTCTTAAACAACAACAAATAAATATTATATGTTCTTTACATAAAATGCAGCAATATAGTAACTTTTTTTTTCTCAGATCTTTGAGTCTTTGGTCCGCTACTACTCACATATATGGATAAACATGTTTTTGCCTCAGGCATTTTATTGAAAGAGCAGTTTTAATCTGAGATAGATACATAAGCGTAAGTCAGTACTTATAAACCCTAACAGATGCCATGAATAAGAACTTAACATTGATGAATTAATGAATTCCGAAAGCCATATGGGGGTGATTCTGATAAATTAGGCATAGTTGTGTGGACTGAATTGGAAAGTGTCTTTTTCACTCTGGCCTTTTTAAAGTATGTTAATTGTAAGGGTGAGCAATTTTTGTGGGTTTAGAATACTAGAAGAACAGACAAAAGAGCATTTAAATGCAATGCACTGAAATTAGAAAAGGCCGGTGAAATTCATCCTGGAATACTGAAGGAGCTAGCTGCAACACTGTCTAAACAAATACCACCTGTGTTTGAAAAATAGTAGGAATGCTGGATGGTCTGACTGACTGACTGAGAAATGGGCAAGCATCAGTAGATAAGAGCAGCTTGTAGCACAGGCCAGTGTATATTCTCTTACATATGTTAGGATATGTTAGGATCATTCCATATGTGGAATGATTCTAAGTTCTCAGCCAGTTAGAAAAGGAAGAAAAATGTTTATGATATATTATGTCATAATTGATATTCTTTCTCAAACAAGAACTTTCAAACCACCATTTCTGCAATGTTTTGTTCCTGGTCCTAACACTATTCATGGTTTCTTAAACTGTTCAAATGACAAAGAACATTGACAAAATTTGGAAATATTGCTTACTTTACATATGACACTACTTTTTAAGTGTTTTGGTAGATAGGAGTTCAAAAGTATCTTGACAAATTGCAGAAATATCTTGAAATCAGTAGAACAGTCAATAAAGACAAGTGCATAATACTTCCATTGGGAATGAAAAATCAAATTAACAGCACAAAGCTGAACAGTTGGGTAGACAGTAGTACTTCAGAGAAGGATCTTCATGTTGTTGCAGAGCATAAACTGAAAAAGTCAGTAAATGGAAAAATCTTATCTCACAATCCTTGTTATATACAACACACAGGGGATTTAACTTTTTCTCCCTGGTTCCCTGTGTATCGACTCTGAGTTTTGATGCCATTTTTTGTGAGGTACAGTTAATTAGAAAAAGTACAGAACAAGAAAAATAGTGAGTATAAAAAATGCATTCTTTTGAAAACAGTTGAGGTAGGAAAGATTGTTTGTCCAGCATGGAGAAAACTTACGTGGGATGAAACAGTCTTATGGGTAGTAGAAGGTAGTAAGGAAGCGATGTCAATGTGCGCAGAAAAGCAAAGGATTCGAAGAAAAATAATTTGATCAATTTCCAAAATATTTAGGCTGAATTTGGGGGAAATCTTTGGAACTCTGAGGATGCTTAGCAGTAGGGATAACTACATGGGTGCATTTGGCATCGTCTTTATCTTCCTGGGGCTGTCAGTGATGATTTAGATAACCAGAAACTGAAAATCAAGAAGCTGGTCTCTTTGACCACTTCCAGTCTTTCATTTTGGAGATTTTTGGGGCAGATTTTTTTTTTTTTTCAAATATGCTAATGAAGTTACAGACTGTGTGTCCCTTCTTTAAAGTTATTTATGTACCTGTAATATTTTAACTGTACTTTTGCTGAAACCTGTCACTAGAGCGAAAGAGTTAAAGAGTTAGCTTTTGTAAACTAATTGAAAAATGGCTACAGAACTGTCCAGCAACTAGAAAATCCAGCACCATGTTTGATTTCAGGGGGGAGAAAAATGATATTTTTATTTCAAAAACTTCAAAGATTGAAGTTTTTTATGTAGGTTGAAACCCATATCCTGTCCATCTCTGTGAAGACTGATACAATTTTACAAAATTGCAGCTATAATACTAGATGTGAAACACCTTGTATTTTTTAGGAGTTACTTGTTGTAGATTTCTTTCTAGATGAAAATAACAGCCTTACCAGGTTTTGGAATTGTTCTTTAGAAATAACTGAACTGAGATACTAATTACTCTGTCTTTTTTTTTTTTTTTTTTTTAAAGGATTTTCAGAGGCTGCCAAATAATCTAAGATAATTATTCTATCTATGCCATGAGAATGTGCTCAAAACTAGTTGTCTGTTGGTATCCGAGTTAATTGAGTCAAATGGCAAAAAATAAAGCTAGTGTTACACGAGGGTTTCGTTTCCAAAAAAACCCATACCCTTTCCTAATGTATTTTTGAACCAGGAAATACAGATATTCCCATTCCTACCCATTCCAGCTTCTAATGCTGAGTAGTCAGATTGGGGTTTGGCTTTGTGGGTTTTGTTTTGTTTTAAGGTCATATGAAATAAAGTGGCCATTTGAAGTGGTATGTCTTTCTTCTACTTTTGCCATTAAATGGCTGGAGAAATGTTTCTTCAGAGTATACCCAAGGTGTAATATCATGTGAATGTACATTTAATCTGCAGCTTAGTGTTTTCTGGTGTTTACTTTTTTTACTTAAGAATCTACATGTACTTCCTGCTTGTTTGACCTCAGGAGTCTGTGATTGAAACTACTTTCTGTATTTGCAGGGATATCTCACTCTTGCTTGCCTTTGTAAGTGCCCTGCTTATGCTTCCTTCATGGTGGAAGGAGTCATCGTGGCTACCGTGGGGACTGGTTCTGCTTGTGTATGCAGTCTTTCGAGTGTGGGCCACATGGAGGACAGCCAAGCTACAAATGTCCCTGCAAAAATACTGTACCCAGCTGGAAGAAACAGTAGCAAATAGTCGAGCTTTTACTAATCTTGTGAGGAAAGCTCTACGGCTCATTCAAGAGACTGAAGTAATTTCCAGAGGATTTACCCTGTGAGTCTGCGTTTCACTTTAATGCACAGATCCGTTTAAGCCAGATGTGTTCTGACATAGTCTTGTTGCACTGTCTCCCATAACAAATGGAACTGCTGAAAACCATGCTGCTTGAAGTTTTGCATTTATGTAAAATAGTATAATTATCATAGCTGTGTTCACCAACATGCAAGTATGAATCCTAACAAGACATTGCTAAAACTATGCATCCTGAAGGAGCATTAAGTATCAAATATTTACTGGACACCTACATTTTTGAAAATCTCCTGGAGTCTTAGCAATGAAATACTGAAGAAAAAAAAAAGGACTTAGAACCAATTCTGGAGGGTTATTTAGGTTGTTTCTTTCACAGTTTTTTGTACTTCATATTATCAAATCCATGTAACCAAACTGATCTGCAAGTAATCATTCATATTTTAGAAAACAAGATTACTTCAAAATTATCAAATAATAGTCTAAAGTAATGAGAGCATAGCAATTAGCAAGACCTATTCAGAGGTCATTTTCAACCTCAAAAAAATTACAATCCCCTTTTCTTTTCTTGCATACAATTGTTAAGATGTTTAGAATTTTAAGTTATTTATTCCTGGATTTGCCTCTTGTCCACTTAAGGTATTAAAGTTTCTCTAGTTATTTAGCTCTCTGGGTAATGTTTAACTCCTTGGATAACTTTACTCTTATTATGTTGAAGGACATTAGAACATATTCAGTGTGTGCAAGACCCACTCTCATTGCCATGTATGTCCTTTTCCCTTGTAGCAGCCTATTTCTAGACATATGCCTGAGTCAGTTTGACTTGAAGTTTAAGAAGACAGGAAATGCCTGCAAGTAAATGCTGCTGACTTCGTTCTAAAACCAATAAAAAGTTCCCCTGTGTGCACCAGAAATGGTTAATGCCAGACCAACTACTCAACTTGTAGGCTTTTGTTATGTGCAAGCTTTAAACCGTGGAGTTTGCATTTTGAATTAATTTTTGAATTTGAGATACCTTCAATATACTTAGCTTTATTCTCCCTTAGGAATGCATAAACATGTCTTCAGTCTGCCTAGCTGTGTTTTTTGTTTGTTGTGTTTTCTGAAGAAGTGTATAGTTAAGCAATAGACAGTCTTATCTTTGCAGATGAGTTCTTAAAAGAAATTATTATTAGGGCTTGTCCAAATAACAGATGAGAAAAAAAGTTTGGGTTTTTTCCTAAGTTTAAGCAAATGAACTTGTGGTCAGTGTTAAAAATTGCTCGTTTCTTGTTTTTTTACTACATATCTTAGATAACAGATTAACAAAAAACAGACTGATCTTTAAGCTAGTGCTTGATCTCATAGCCCCTTTACTTAAAATTCTGGCAAGCTTTTCAAAAGCTTTTATAGTGTGGATGGAGTGGGAGAATGCCATGTCAGCATTCTCATCAGAATCATCATCATTCATACTCAGTGTGAAGAGGTCGGTGTCATACAGGTTTTGGGTTGGTTTAGTCTGGAGGAAGTTTGAACTCAAGTGTTCCCTCCAGCACCCACATAAGTAAGAGATGCTGCTGCAGAGCACGGTGAACTTCTTTGCTTGATATTATGCTTTATGTGTGATCCAAAAATCTAGCTACCCCCTCTCGGTGAATTTTGATACAGTGAATCTTAGAGGAACTAAGTTTGATATGTTCTCCAGTAGTAACCTTGTCAAAGTCTTAATGCTTGTTCAGGGAGAGTCTTGAGGCAATAGGAATGGTTGCACCTGGAAAGTTAATGAGTATCTTCTTGTATTGTTTTATATCTTTAAAGGAATGGGATTTTAACTGGGTAGTGCAGCATCCTGTTGCATGATACATATGCTGCTCTTTGAATATTCTGCAAGCCTAGAGTAGTCTGGGCAGTGAATTCATTTTGTTATGAATGAAAGACAATGAAGCTGACAAATAATACCGAGTCCAGGTTTTGACTGACTGTCTTAGCATAGTTCTGCAAGCCCAGGTCCTGGTGTCCTATGTTTTTTTCTCTCTATTGCACCATCCATTGCTATGTTCTCATATGGCTAATTTATGTAAACTTATGGCTTTGCTTTATTCTACTCTCCATGCCCCCTTGTTAATTAATATTTGGCTGTTTCTGAAAGTGTTAAATTATCCTTGATGAGATTTGGGTCAGTTCTCCATTGGTTCATCGGTTTACTACTGCATGGCAGTGACTGCTATATGATCAATTGATTCAAATGTTGTTTTGCCTTTGTTCCAATCCCACCTAAAAAAAAACAAAAAAACAAACAAACAAACAAACAAACAAAAAAACACAGTATGCACTTAAGGGAAAAAAAAAAAAAAAAGCCAAACCAGTAAGGACCATGTCATGTGTTTCTTATATAATCTGCTCTTCAAAGACCATTGAATATTCTGATTTCAGTGTGGCCTTCAGAGGAGTTTAATACTTCTGTTAGCTTTTAAGCCTGCACAGTAAAAGCTCTGTGATGCAGAGATGCTCAAGATCTTGCCAATGTAATTTGGATTTCAGAAATTATGTAGCCAGTGTAGGAAAGGGCTCTGCTCAGGCAGAACAGCAGTATTTCTGTCTCTGTTGCAATTAGACAAATTAATCTTGATCACGAGTTGCAGCCTGGATTTTCTCCTGGCTAATGAAAGTATGTTCATTATTAAAGTGTGAAATGAAAACTGTAGGGATATACAATGAAAGGCTGCAGCAATAAAAAGCAAGTAGTTATTTCCTTGTCTGTCACTGATACAATTAACTTTATTCCAAAGTACTACCTCGATATAGTTTCAACTAGAATCAAACTCTGTGAGTGTATGTTGTTGTGTATAGCATCTCTGTAGAAGTTGCTTTTGCGTTAGAGTACAAGAATAGTTTTTTATTCAAGTGTACGTGCAGGTTTGTTAAAGGAGAGATTCTATTTAAAACTTGATTTGTGAAACTAATGGAGAAATAAATAACAGTTCTTTACAAGGAAAATGGATATGGAGCAGCAGAGAAGAGGAAATTCACTTTTAACCTTTTTTAAAATTTTTTGCTGTTTGTGGCTGATATCCAAAGCTGATAATATATTGTAAGTTCAATTAAAGTATGTGGAAGATAAATGAAAACCTAGGAAGCTAGGGGTATGGCATGTCTGTCACATGGAAATTTATAGCAAGTTATATTAACATTACTGGAATAAAGAATTATTCCATTAAAAAAAAAAAAAAAAAAAAAAAAAACCAACACTGAAACAAGCCTCCCAAGAAGCAATACAAATTGTTTTGTTGAATACTGGCAGTACTGCACGTACTGCATGAGTTGTGCAGAAGCTGAAAATGCTTGCATTGCTGTAGCAGAACATAAATTTCTTTCTCTTTTTTACTAGAGAATAGTTTTTACTAGCAGAATAGCTTTACTCTCCTCTTTGGTCCTGCTTCTGACAGTTCACCCAAGGCTTGAGTCTACGAAGTGATATGAGAGTTTGTCCTTGAATGCTTCTAATTTTATCTTCACAAGTTAGGAAAACATTAGAGATTGGCATGTCCTGACTTACAGATACAAGGTGAACTCATCACTTTACTCTGAATAAGGTGAGAGCAGAAGCAGGCTTCCAATCCCCTACCAGTTGGTCAGTCTTGATGCCCGCACCACGTCCATTCCCGATCTGGTTCTAGTGAACACAGTGCAGGAGAGGATGAACTGTGCACTTAGGCCATTTTCAGTGTTGTAGCTACAGGTTTGGCATCAGATTGTGTCTTACGACTCTGTAGATATATTTAACATTTACTCAGTTCATAATCCAATTTATTTCCAGATTAGACAATTTCTTACTGTTCTAAAGACATTTTGAAGTATAGTCTAATAAGCAAATGGTGTCTTTTTAAATTGTGTATTCATCTGAACATATGGATACCAAAATATATTTTCAGATATGCTTTATACAATTGCGTGCATTTCATGTTACCTGTCTGACTTCCATGAAACACTGCTGTCATTCACTGCATGATTGACAAAAGCTATCTCACCACTTAAGTAACATTTCTTTTGACCTAGAGAGTAATTCTGCAGGGGGTTTGACCAAAAATAGTGTTTTGCATGAAAAACAATAAATAGTAGCACATTTTTCTATAAAAAGTATTTAAAGAGCAAATTTGCATGCAAAGAGGCAAATGTTAAAAATCTGCAAACTTACAGTGGGCTTATGGTAGTTTTATGGCAGATAATGTTGTGGCCTGCCTACATTTACTATGTTCTTTTGGAACACTTTGGAGAAGACAAATGTCCTCAGGAATTTTACTGTGGCTCAGGTAGGACGGGAATCAGGCTGCCTACAGAGGAATCCTAGCTGCTTAACTAAATGTTTGACTGAATAATTCACTGATGTGAATTTCTTGTGTGTGTGTGTGTGTGTGTGTGTGTGTGTGTGATAGTTACTGAGCAAAAAAGTAGTGATAGAAAAAGAAAACTTATGTATTATCTTTTAAAAATACTTTAGGACATCTGTACAGTTGTATCACATTTTACTTTTCAAGTTTGCTTGACAGGGTCAGTGCCGCTTGCCCACTTAATAAAGCTGGACAGCATCCTAGTCAGCATCTTATTGGTCTCCGGAAAGCCGTCTATCGGTCTGTCAGAGCCAACTTCCGAGCTTCAAGACTGGCTACTCTGTACATGCTGAAAAAATATCCTTTTTGTAAAAACCCATCCGTTCAGACATTCTATTAATATGGCTTTCTACCTGCATTCATGCTGACGTTCAGAGTTGGCATGACTAGAAGCATATGGTATCTAATTAGATATAGAATTATATATCTAAACAAAAACTGAAGAAAATGTAGCGTAGTAAATTTTGTCTTATGCTTGATTTAGAGCAGTCAACATATTTCTTTGTTTTGCACTTTGCAGTGTGAGATAAGATCCTGTGTGTTGAAAACATTGCCCCAGGTATTGATGGCCATGCCTTTGATGTATGTACTGTTTTATGATTATTCCCAAGCCATCTTTTTTCCTCACACACAAAAAAAAAAAACCAAAACACCTCTCCTCAGAACAATATGCCCTTTCACTCCTTGTCTCCATGTTCAAAGATAAGTTGATTTCCTGTTTCAGACAAGCTGGGTGAACTCTTATTACATTAATAAGCCAAAAGAGTGCGGATTTTCTATTCCAAATCAAACTGTGACACTTGCTTCACAAAATCAAATCTGAATCATCATCTGTATCTTCTCAGCAATTCAAGATTTTTGTTGTACTCTGTAGTAAGTGGCAATGTAGAGTATTTCAGACTGTATTGGAGCAAAAACAAAAAGCAGGTACGTTTCTGATATGAAAAACATTTGTGTCTGTCTTTGAAAGATTTTTAAAATGGAGGTTCAATTATACCATGTTATCATGCACATACCTTAGTAGTAATGCCAGCTGAAATGAATGGTCAAAAATAGGTTGGAACTGTGTGTCTGTAAATTCTTGGTGACCAAATAGAGAAGCATTATATAGAAGCATTCTATATGCAGAATGTAGTGGAATGTAGTAGAACAGGTGTTTTGGTTTTTGTTTGGCTTGATTATTTGTTTTTTTTTGGCTGTTTTGCTTTTTGATTTTTTTTTTTGCACTTTTGCTTGAAATATCTTCCAGTAGAAATTCAACGTGTGAAATGCATCTTAGTCTCCAAGACAATAGCATTTGAATCTTCCTACCTAATATACTAAGAATCAAGGCTTAGTGAAGGTAATGGTAATGTGTATCTCAAATGAGTAAGTAGGAGATCTGATTAATGAAGTTGTTACAGAGAATTAAAAATCTTCATTCACAGCTTTACAGTTTAAATACAGATATGCAATACAGATCACATAAACCTGACACGTTATCATTACTCACTTCAGTAAGACAAGAAGCTTGCCAGTGTTTGCTTGTGATTGGTATGCCACTTTCTAAGAGTGAATTGAATAAATTAATATCTTCCTAATTACAATTTGTTCCCATGTAAAATAGAAAAACATACTATGATGCTGTAGCTTACATTAAGTGTTTTTGTTAAACTCAGTGGACCAGTAATATTTCACAAGAGGGATTCTCTACATTTCATGTGAAGTGACAGTTATTTACTTGCAGAAACTACTCAGCATTTTCTCATGTCATCCTTACTCTGATTTGTTCATGCCAACAAGAGTGCATCGTTCACAGTTGTAGAAGAAAAGGCCATAGAGGAGAAAAGAGTATTTCTCCTTAAGCCTGAAAAATGAGGGTGTAGTGGAATACAATATCCTTATTTTAGCTTAAGCTAAAAGTTGCGTTGGGTTTGCAGGATATGATGCAGATTTGTCGCTGCTAGTGTAGGAAACCTCTGCACTGCACTACACTGAGTTGTGTAGTAATTTAGAGGTGATCAGGCACTGGCACAGCTCCCCAGGGCACCAAGCTGCCAGAATTCAAGGAACGTTTGGACAGTGCTCTCAGTCATAGGTTTAATTTTGGTGTGGTTCTGTGCGGAGCCAGGAGTTGGATTTGATGATCCTTGTAGGTCCCTTTCCACTTGGGATATTCTGATTATTATATTTTTAAATTTAATGTTCTTTCATTATGATGAAGTGGATGATAAAATACATTCTATGTATTTAAGATGCGTTGAGTTCAGGAAAATTTGCTCTTATTACATCTAGTTAAATTTTGTTCCTTCTCCTTTGAAAAAGAAATTTAGTTAATCACGAAATGCTAAAAAAAAAAACCACTTTTTTGCTTAGGAAAGACAGCTAATACAAGAAAACCTTAAGCTGAAGGTAAATAAATAAGTAGATGTACTCTCTTTGGGCTCTAAAAGCCTACATCAGAAGTTTGCTTCTGGAATATCTAAGTAAAGATTTTTGTTGTTGACCAGCCGTCACAGTCATCACATGCTTTGTTCATCCCTTCCAGCAGGTTCCAGAATCTTATGAGACAACAGAGCATCTTGGATTTATTAGGAATTCTATGAGGCCTTGTTAGATCTTTAGATGGGAAAGTACTTCTGAAGAGCAAAGTACTACTATTAAATTGTTATGTATGTGGGTGCATTAGTCCTTTTGCTTTTTTATAAGTATCATCATCCTCCAAGCGGAGACTAGATATTCACTGTACATATATTTTATTCTGGATTTGACAGTTTATTATTTAGTATCTTTGCCTTCTCTTGCTCTAAGCTAATAAGGAATGTAAGTTAAACATGAGAAAAGTATTTTTGCAAAAGCAGGAGTGTTTAAATAAGGTACGCTTATTTACTCTACTTGCATCCCTTTAGTTAATTTCACAATGTGAAAAAAAAAAGACATGCTTTAGATCAAAGAGCACTGAGGAAATGTCAGTACATTTTTAACAAAAACTATTGGAAGAGGGCATGGCAGGAGACAGTGTGGGAGTTTAATGGGAATCCCTAGCTGAGACACACTGTGTGTAAGTGACTCATTTGGTCAAACCATCTGCTTAAGAGATTCCCTGTAATTTTTTAATAGATTTAAAAATCCACATGTTCAAACTGTTTTTCTTGCTGTTGCAGAAAAAGATTAACACAGACTGTGGTTAGCCTCTAAGATAATAGGTCCTGAAGATTTTGACCTGCTTTTTTCAGTCTCTGGTGGAGTTAATGTCCCTGTGCTCCATCTGCTGGACACACTTTCAGGTTAATTTAGACTAGCTGACCCCACTGACACTGTGTTTATGTGAAGCAGCAGATGCTGTGTTACTGAGTCATTTGCATTGCAGATTTTCATCTGCATTCATGCTTCTGGAGAGCACTTCACAGGCATCTTTCTTCCTGTCTTTGAGGAGAAATTAGTGAGAAATGTGTTTGTTCAGAGCCTGAGCACTTAGTATTGATGTTTCCTGAGCCACAGAAATTTCCCTTTGTACAGTGTGCTCCCACTCAAACGAAGAACACTTTCTTGAGCATTATTGCAAATACAATCCTAAGAGAACGTAGAGGGTGGAAAATTTGGGAGTGAGAGTGAGTAGAACTTGTGGCTTCCCCAGAAAATGTATTAGCTGGATAAGAGAGAAGTACTTCTAATGGCCTTTACTTGACCAGAGAGGTGAAAACATTCAGTTTGTAAATCAAAACATCAGTCTTTTCTCTGATCTCTGTTGAGGCTGACATGAGCTATTTATTGGGAATTTACTGATTGAGGATAATTTCCTCGCTTGAAAGGAATGCTGAGATTTTGCATCAATCTGATTGTATTTGTTTCTTTCTAGGTGGTTGCATTTAGACATGGAAGTTTGTTTGGTGTTCTATCTCTCATCCTTCTATGAGCTTGTAAAACTGTACTGTGAAGAAAGACGGAAAGTTCAATTAAACAGGATTTAGATTCAACTAAACAGAGATTGGATGCCATTTTGTTAGGTGTTTTTTTGCCTTATGTGTTTAATGCAAAAGTACTTTGTTAGCCTCCTTAACTCTGGCTAAACCTACCCTCTGAACTCTGAGAGCGACAACGTGACCAGCTACATCTGTGTAGTCCCTTTTAAGGACCTGGGACTGGGACTGAGTGAAGAGCAGGTATCTGAGGAGGAGGCACACAATCTCACGGATGGCTTCAGCTTGCCTGCACTCAAGGTAATCGCTCTTAGAAAGACACACGTGCATGCAGGCTCAGCGTGAGAATCCCTTTCGGTTGTTGTGGTGCATACAGCTGATTGTCTTCTCTAAACAAAGACAACTGCTCATTTCATTTGAAGTGGAAGTTCCTAAGAAGTTAAGTTGTGTGTTTGCTTCTTCCCAGTTTGCCTAACCTCTTCTGTGCCATGTAAAATGTTGTGACTCGTGTCTTACAGCTCTTTAGTGGCATTCATCGAATTTCTCACTTTGGCTGAAGAAAGGAGTTAAGTCAGCTTTCTCCTGAAGTACAATGTTTCTTTGTTGAAGTAGAGTGCAATTAGGCTTCTGTTTCAAGATTGGTTGCGGGCCAATGCAGTAACTTTTAAGTGGATGTAGAAATTATAGCCTAATGTTATAAAGGAAAAATTGTCTTTGCTGCCACTAGAATTTTGGCAGCTCTTTTTGAGCTGTAGGGTATTTGAAGATCATAGCAAATAATGAGACTGCCTGATGAGAATATGAAAATTGAGGTCTCTGTCAGACTTTTGAACATAATTGCATAAATTGCACTTCATTGGAGAATTAATGGTCATCTGAGGTTCACTAGATCTGAACCCATATGGTCAGAGATATCCTTCAAAAATACTCCGTGGATTTTCTTATTATTTCAGTGTTTCTGTGGTAGGCTGAGGAATGTTTCTGCATTCTGTATCTGCACCTTTATTTTGGAGGCTGGCTGTGTTCCAGGTACACGGAGCTAACCTCACTCTGTTTTGCAGGTTCTCTTTCAGCTATGGGTAGGGCAGAGTTCGGAGTTCTTCAGGAGACTGGTACTGCTCCTCTCCCCAGCCAATGCATCCCCCAAGCCCTTGATCTCCCCTGAACGGTTGCCTCATCATATCTTGTCTGATGTGACTCAAGGCCTACCTCATACACATGCTGCCTGCTTAGAGGAGCTCAAGAGAAGCTATGAGTTTTATCGGTACTTTGAAACTCAGCATCAGTCAGGTTTTGAACGACCGACCAGAGCAAAACAGAAGTCAAGAGAGTTGAACAGCCTTCAAACAGCAGTACGCAGTCTGCAGCTTCATCTCAAGGCACTGCTGAATGAGTAAGTTTACACGTGAATTAAGAGACTATGCCTGTGGGAAGAAGGCTTCAGACTGGAGTTCTTTGGGTTGTCAGTTTACTTTATCCCAGATTAGAAACTAAAAAGGCAGATACAGTCACTGTAAGTACATCATGCCTGTCCTGTTCCTAATTGATTTTACTAAGGTGTCTGTTTCCAAGGTAACAGATCTACTTTAAAGTAAAGTAGTAAAGATGTTTTTTGACGGTATAATTATCTGAAGAATGCTTCAGAGATTCTGTTTCCCTATTTACATTCTCACACTCTTCCCATTGCTGTGTCTGAACTCTCAGCTGTCATCTAAGTACATCTTTATGTAGAATGAGGTCAAAGACTCCTGGTTCAATGGGGAATCCAGTGTTGTTTCCTGATTATTCTTCTGATATCTAGTGAAAATTCAAAGCTAAGCAGTACTTTAATTTCTATCTTTGCTTTTGTCTAACCCTTCAAAAAAAAAATCTGAAAATGTACTTACTATCCCTTGACTTTTTAACATACCAAATGCTTTATAAGAAAGTTCAGCTCATAGTAACTATAGTAAATATTTTTAAAATGCCATCACTGGCTGGTGAAGTAACTGAAACTATCTATTCCTTTAATCTTACATGTGAGAATTGCTATGAGTGAACGGTGTATCTCAATGTGGATAAATGGATCTTACTTTTCAAAATGTGTGGCATTATTGAGGAGATGGCCAAACTAGATCTTTACAAGCTAAAGAGAATAACAGGATATTAAATAGCTGAAGAAACTGTGAAGACAAATATTTATTTGTGTTTATTTCTGTTCATTTTATTAGGGTAATAATTCTTGAGGATGAACTTGAAAAACTTGTTAGCACTAAGGAGACACCTGAATTAACAACAGAAGCGCACCAGGTTCTGGAACAAAAACTAAAGTTTATTCAGCCTCATATGCAGGCAAGCAACAGCTGCTGGGAAGAAGCCATTTCTCAGGTGGAGAAAATGGGTGGAAGAAACCCAAATAAAAAAGGTAAATATGAGAGGTTAATTTAGCAACTAAAGGGATGTGCTTTAGAGTTGGAATGGATCAAAAACTTCATTCAGCCTTTATTTTCTGAATTTCAGCTTAAAGAGATTTAACAACCTTACTCTTTGAAAAGCTATCTATTTGTTAGACTTCGTTCTTGAGATGGCCTTGAAGCTTTTGTTTCAGGAAAAAAAAATATAAAAAATAAAATGCTAACTTAGTCTATTAGGCATGTGGATTTACGTGGTACATTTGCATTTCCAAGTGTAGCCCAATAGTGGATTTTTCCCTGTAATTGGTGAGCAGCATGGGAAGTGGTGGGATTTTGATGAAATATCTCTGAGGTTTTTCTTTTATCTATTGCATAAATATTAGATAGGTAATTGAAATGACAATTACCTTGTCATGAAAATTTCTTGATAATGACATTTCCTGAAACATTTTAAATTGATGTATTGAGTTTATAACACCTGCTTACCTGCTCTCTCAGATATAGTGAGCTGATCTCCTTTGTGTTTAAAAGTGATGTGAACAGCACATGCCAAAGTTTTGCCTTAGTGAGCTCTACTGTCCATGCTGTTATCTTTGTGATTTACATTTAGCTTAAGTGATTGAAGTGAGCTGAAACTCTCTTGACACAGAGTTGAACATAAAATTTCTGATCGTGTTTCCAGGAAACTTTTTTACTGGCCTAGGAAGGCACAGCCCAGCATCTGTGTAATGCTGGTAGTAATGGAGACTATATTAGGAAAATTATTATCTGGGATATGTGTCAGCAAGTTACCTACAGAAATCCCAGTTTGTAGTGAGCTAGGCTCTTAATTATGTGTGGGTGGGGTATCCAGTAGGTGGATGAATACTGCTGTGGTCCAAGAGATGCCCAGGCTCACATTGTTCGTGTTCACATTAGAATTGGGAGCACTGGTGAATCCTGTGTCTACAGGCTCCACGCAGGTCCAGACATGGCATAGCAAACTTGCTGTTATTAATATATATTATGAGGCAAAATCATTAAAAAGCCTTCACTTTCAGTTTTGTCCAGTGACTTGCCTGGTGGGAATGTGTGTGGTTTGAATCTCTGTTTTGTAACAAGTTTACTGAATCACTCCCCAGAAACTACTTTTAAATTATGTTTAAATTCTGTTATTTTTATCTGACTACATTTGAATTTCCTAATGTATTTCTGAGCAGTTCAGCTTCTGTGAGTTGAACTTTTCAAGCTGTGCATGAAATCATCTCATTACAGAATCACAGAATTGTAGAGGTTTCAAGGGACCTCAGGAGATCGAGTCCAACCCCTCTGCTAACTTGTAATCTCTTTGTACTCATCTTAACAGCTCATCTGTCAGTCATGATTATGTGAATTAATTATGTGAATTACATGTGGGGCTTTTTTTCAATACTTCCTTAAAACTCTCTGAAAGAAGATAGCTTCCTGCTGAAATAATATAACAGCTAAGCACATCTTTATTTTGTCTTTATTCACCATTATGTAAAATCAAATGAATTTTTTGACAAAAGCTGTAGTTAAAAGCCTAACAATACAACTTTGTGTCAAAGTGGTTGAATAGTGCTTTTGGTGCAGTAGATGTTTAGTTCAACTAACCAAAGAAAAGCTGTGGGGATACGTCATCAATTATGAACAGTGATGAAGAGGGAGTTGTTGTTAATGGTTTAGACCAAGTTTTGAGAGGAAATATTTCATAATTTAAAAGCTGTATATATTAAATATTTTCAGCAATAACTTTCAATTGTGCTGAGTATTACAAAGTCACTCCTTTTTACTCCATCTGTAAATGCAAAGTGTATCCAGTGTTTAAATTTACTTTTTCTTGAGTTTGATACTTACTGGAATGCTTTTGCTGAATTATTCACTGGGAGCATCCAGCCACTAAAGAACTGCTTTGAACTGTGGTCTGTCCTAGTTGTGGCACCCTAGGCAGCGGCATAGCACATATTTTTCAAAGCAGTTTTCATAGAATCATAGGATGGTTTGGGTTGGAAAGGACCCTTATGATCACCTAGTTCCAACCCCCCTGCTATAGGCAGGAACACCTCCCTCTAGACCAGGTTGCTCAAAGCCCCATCCAGCCTGACCTTGAATGGTTCCAGGGAGGGGGGGCATTCACAGTCTTTGTGGGCAATCTGTTCCAGTGTCTCACCACCCTCGTAGCAAAGAATTTCTTCTTGATGTGTAGTCCAAATCTACCCTCTTCCCGTTTAAAACCATTTCCCCTCATCCTGTCTCTATGCGCCCTCATAAAAAGTCTCTCCTCAGCTTTTCTGTAGGCTCCCTTCAGGTACTGGAAGGCTACTATAAGACTCCCCAGGGCCTTCTCCAGGCTGAAGAGCCCCAACTCTCTCTGCCTGTCCCTGTGGGGGAGGTGCTTCAGCATTCTGATGATCTTTGTAGTCCTCCTCTGGACCCACTCTTCAACTGCTCAATGCCCTTCTCATGTTAGGGGCCCCAGAATTGGACATAATACTCCAGATGGGGTCACACAAGTACAGTAGAGGGGCAGAATCACCTCCCTCAACCTGCTGGTCGTGCTTCTCTTGATGCAACCCAGGAAATGGTTGGCTTTCTGGGCTGTGAGCACACGTTGTCAGCTCATGTTGAGTCTTTCATCAACTGACACCCCCAAATCCTTTTCCTCAGGCTTCTCTCAAGGTATTCTCTGCCTAACCTGTATCTGTGCTTGGGATTGCCCCGACTCAGGTGCAGGACCTTGCACTTGTCCTTGTTGAACTTCACAAGGTTGACATGGACATTGAACCTGTCCAGGTCCCTCTGGATGACATCCCTTCCCTCTAGCATGTCAGCTGCACAACTCAGCTTGGTGTCATCTGCAAACTTGCTGAAGGTGCACTCAATCCCACTGTCCATGTTGCCTACAAAGATGTTAAATAGCAACAATCCATGAGGAATGCCACTCATTACCAGTCTCTTGTTTCAGGAAAAGTCACTTGGACATTGAGCCATTGACCACAACTCTCTGGGTGCAACCATCCAGTTCCTTACCCAGTGAGTGGTCCATCCATCGAATCCATTTTTCTCCAATTTGGTGACCTGGAGATTGTGCAGGACAGGGTCCATGTTTTGCACGTCTTTGTTTTCTCTATAAGCATCCGGATCTTAATTGCATACTTACTGCTTCAAGTTTTTGCATGTCAAAGCAGATTTATTGCAAATATATTAAAAAGCTCAGTTTGTTAAATCAAAAACCTTTAGGTCAACCAACTGAACATTCAAATACTCCCGTAGGACCATAGTACCCTGCTGCAAGCTCCTGGCCTTGCAGTCCTTTGATCCACCAGAGAGGAGCTAAAGCCACAGCAGCGTTAGTGAAAACATTGAATTTGTGCTCTTGAAGCGTCTCCTTAGCAACGTTATCACCTCAAACAGATGGCAAATAGAGCAGCCTGTACATATCAGTGCAGCTGTTTTGTTCTTCTAATTCAGGAAACCAAGCTTTTCATTGATAAATTCCTTATTACACTTCCAAATTTGTTTTCGTACCTTCAGCAGCATATTTTTTTTAAATGTTTTTATTCCAAGATGCAATTGTGCAGTGAACATCAGTTTTCCACTTGTGTCGGGTTTCACTTCATGCTTTACCTTTCTTTTAAATTATCATTTTGCATTTAAATACATCTGGAACATCAAATCTTTAACTCAACCCAAGCGAACAGGGAATCACATGTTTTTCCTTGTTTGCAAAAGCAGGTAACTGAGCATCATTAGAGTCATTGTCAGTGTGAACTGCCTACCTTAAGAATACTATGTCTGTGTATTCAGTGTATAGATTAAAAATTGAAAATAAAGGTGAATGGAGTTTGTCAAGTTTGTCTTGCCCATTTCTCTTCTCAGTGGCAAATTTGTATTTTTGCGATACGTAAATGTTGTTTACCTGCTCTTAGAACATCTGCATAGAGATATTTTACGGTATTTCCAGGCATCTGTTCCAGCACTTAAATTTCATTTACCAGTAGAATGCTATTTCTAATATTCAGTATAAATAGCTTTTGCTGCAATTAAAAAAAAAAAAAGTGCTTTTGACCACCCACAATGGAAATCCATTTCCTCCTTATAACCTTCTCTTACATTTTTTAAGGCGGCTAATAACATTTCTGTCTTCTCCACGTAACCACATATCCTTTGAATCTTCTATTATGGCTGTACTTTATTTAGCCCTCTGACCATTTCCATTGTTTTTCCTCTGGACACCCTTTAGCTGGTCTGCAGTATCTTTGAATGGAGGAATCCCAGCCTGAGCACTATGTTCCATCCACAGCCTGATCAGTGCCAAGCAGAGCAGAAAAGTAATTTCCTGTGTCTAACAATCTGTGCTGCTGTTTATATGTAGTCTGGCTTCTTTCTTACAGCAGGGTATAATTGACTGGTCTCCTCAGATCCTTTTCTCAGTGGTGCTGCCCAGTCAATCAACATATTTTTATGCAGTTGGCTATTCAAAAGCGCAGAATGTCACAGCTGCTGTCACTGAACTGCTGTATCTGAAGTCCAATTCTTCCTGGGGCATCTCTGATTTTCCATTAGTTTTTTGGTTTTTTTTTTTATTCTACTTTTCAGTGTCCTTGCAGATCATCACAATGTCAGGAGATCTAATGAGCTTAAATACTTTTTTTTTTTTTTTTTTCATCCAATGGAAATATTGAGGAGCATTGGACTTGGGACAAATCCTCACTAAATGAATTGTTCCTGTCTAAAAGTGGTAACTATACTGTTTATGCAAGAAAGCATTTGATGCACCAGATAGCAACTTCTTCTAGCCTGTGTCATAACACATGACTGAGTCAAAAATATCACTGAACACTCAGAATTCTTTTTTTTTTTTTTTCTTCATCCCTTTTTTTCCTTTCCCCTGAAGGCAAGCTTGAAGCTTCCTGTGATAACCTACAGCATACTTCAGTACCTTTAATACAGCCTACTGTGTACATAGAAGACAGAGATCCCATCCCTGAAGAACAGGTAAAAAAAGTAGGATCAATCAAATTAAAAACTGGGCTTTGTTCCTTTTTCAGTTGCTTGTGCAGTGACCTTCTTGTCTTGTCAAAGCAAGCCAGGTTGGTATCGGGAGCTATTTCATAAGGGGACTTGTAAAAGAAAGGAAAAAAATTGATATATTTTCCTTCTGCTGTGTTTCATGGGAAGGTATTCCCCATTCTTGGGGAATACTTGTAGATGAAAGTAAGTCTTAGGTGGCTGCAATGATGTTAACTTTGCATTGAGTGGAATTAAGAATGTCAGATGCACTGGCTCTGCTCAAACTAGGCTCCATCCTTCCACTGTGGTTGACTTGCATTGAGATCACTTGATCATGCATTAGCTTCTAGAATAGGGTCTACACTGAAAGTGAAAAATGTAAAATATTTCTTTTCTTTATTCAGGAATTGGAAGCCTATGTTGATTATTCTGATATGGACAATGAATATAATAGGGAAGCTTTTGACTGCTTTTCCCAGGAAGAGAGAGAGAGACAAAAACGAGAGAGAGAGGAATCTAAAAGGGTGTTACAAGAATTGAAATCTGTACTGGGATTTAAAGCTTCAGAAGCAGAAAGGCAGAAATGGAAACAACTCCTATTCAGTGACCATGGTAAGCATTGCTTTTGAAAATTACTCCCTTTCTCAGAAAGAGTAAATGTCCATTTACCATGAAGTTTCTGACTGCCATAGAATTTAAATAGTGCTCAAAGATGGCAGTGTCTTTGACAATACTGTGTGACTTCATTTTTTTTATTCCATCTCTTTAAATTTTTATAGCAATCATTTGGCTCCCAACAAGAATATTGAGCCAAAGTATTAAGTACACAAACTACGAAGCATGGCATAAAGAGGACTGTCAGGCTATAATCGTTGCAAAATACACTGACTTTCTTTCATTGCTTTCTCATAAATATGAATTTTAATCGGGGTTCATAAATATTTTTTGGAATTTAAAGAAACTGTCAGAATTTATCACAGACAAACAAAAATTGACAGATTAAAGTGAAGAAATAATTAAAGATTCATAACAGACTAAGACAGGCTTTTGTTTCTGTGAGAGAGGAAGCACACAGAATGTATTTTGCAAAAAAAAAAAAAAAAACAAAAAAGCCTAAGAGGGAGGAGTTCTTTCAAACTTACCTTTACTAATTCTGGGGACTGCTTGTAGCTGTAGCCACTTGAACCTGAAAGCAAGAGTATGAAAATTTACTTTGCCTCAGCAAGACAATCTCAGTTCCTCTGAGTCTGGATACAGCTTGACTGCTTCTGCTGCTTGAGCTGTTTGATTTATTATCTTTAATATAATGAATGAGTGTTTTATATAACGAGGGAGTGATTTGTATTTTCTTCTTTCCTTTCGTATTCCCATTTTCATTCCTTCCTCTTCAGGATAGGTTAGGAGGAGCCCTCTGAAAATTGTCATACTCTAGCTTAAGAAAAACAACCCTCAAGTTTGGCAGCATATTCAGAATCCAAGGATTCTACCTCTGCAGTTTTTGCCAGAAAAAAACCAGCCATCGATTGCATCTCTCAATAATGTGGTGGAAACACACAGTAACAGACCATACGTATTTATGAGACGGTTTCTATTGATATCAAACCCACAAAAATACCTGAGCATCACAACTTTTTTTTGTTATGTCCACTTAGCTATAACTATGGTAAAGACAACCTCCCACCTGTTGGTATTGGCTGCTCTTCTCTTCTAGATGAGTTAAAAAGCAAAGATATCAAATGGCATCAGAGACTACTCGAGTAGGATTTCTGTATTATCCTTCTGATGTTAGATGGGATACCACACAACTTCCCAGAGGAAGCAGAAGGGAGAAATCCTATCCTCACTTCAAGTCTTCATGAATATAGTGACTGTTATAGAAAGACTTCTTCGTCAAGAAAGCTTGCGTAGGAAATTTCCTTACCTAAGCTAGCAGCTGATGCCTATCCACATTAGTATCTCTTTAGGTCATTTGTGGTTATAGCTTTGTAGAAATCAATGGACTGGCTTAGCTGAACAGCTGTAACAGCTGCAGGAGGAGTCAGCTAACTCCTGTAATCTTGAGTAACCATTCCATTGTAAGCCTTTGTGGCTCATGCTAGTTCCTTTCCTTTTCGCATAGAGATATTACTTTTTTTTTTTTTTTTTTTAGGATTAGAAAGTCTATAATGGGAAGTGAAGAAAGTGTCATTTCTTTCATCTGCTCAGGACTTATCACAGATTCCTTCTAAACAGTACAAAAGTTGAATATATGAGGATGGTTTATAAAAATAATTAATATGGTCTCCTTTTAGCTCTGAAACTAATATGCAATTGTCTTGGGGTGAAAAAAAAAGACCCTGAGAGATGCTGAGGCTTTAATCAAGGCACATAGCAAGCCATTTAATAAGGTTTTTGGTTCACTGATGCGAGAGGCTGGTTTCTACATAAAAGAGGTCAGCTTCCAGCACACTGATATGCCCAAAGAGCACAACACATGGTCAGCTACTCAGTAATTGAAATGAGTCTGGTCCAGTGCTCCTTCAGTATACGAATTTTTAAAACAAACAATAGAATACAAATTCTAATCTACAGCCTTTGCGTGCTAGTGAAAGTAATTATCCATGTGACAATTGTAGTGATACGCCTACCTTCAACTAGCTAAAATAAATGTGACTGCAATAGGATGCAATGGAAAAATCCTAATACCATACGTTTTGTTTCCCATGAAAAGTTTCCTTATTTCCCAGAGTTATTTTCATCTCTGCTTACAGGGGTAAAGTCAGAATGGAATTAGAAAGGGAAATGCTACTTGGGAATCTGCTGTTGCCGCTCATTTATGTTCGTGCTGCTACTCTAATGGAGCTACTGCAGTTTAGGGAATCTGTTACTTGGAAATGGACATTGTATCGTTTATCTTAAAAAAGAGAGACATCTGTTCTTCAAGAAGTGATTGTACCAAGTTATACTAACCCTTAACACTGGGAGGAGAGACTTCCTGGCAAGCATCCCGTTGCTGGCAATGGGACTCGCTGCTGCTACTAACTTCAAGAGAGGCTAAATTAAACCACACTTAATTTGTGAGGACATCTTACCTGGCTGTATGAATACGTGTTGTGTTTGTATGTTGTGATGTGAGATCAGACATTGCGTGTAAGGACTTTTTTTCTGTACCAGCTGTCTTTATTGGATTAGGTAAACCGTTGTCTAAAACAAAGACAGTTCAAATCTGTATCCAGTGCAGAAGTTTTACCTGTTTTTAACTTGATCATGGAATGCATCATCCACATTCGATTCCATTGTTAAAAATCAGTTTTCTGCCATCTTTCTGTATCAAACATTTTAAAACTTAGTTCTAAGGAGCAGTTACCACATTTCATTTCACCTCTGTGGCTAGAAAACACCAATTTGTTTTAGGTTTTCTTTGATTTTTTTTTCGTTGTTGTTGGTTGTCGTTGTTATTGTTTGGTTTGGTTTTTAATCCATTTTGACACTTCCAATCTTGCATCTATTCAGACACAAATATTATTTGTACATAGCAGCTTGCTTTCAGTTGTCAATTCATTTTTTCCCCTTTTTAAGCTGCAGTGAAACCCTTGTCTCCTGTAGAGCCATTGAAGCTCCTAAATAATTTGGAATCACACATGAATTCAAATACAGAAAAGCAGGACTGCAGCCAAAGTTGTGATAAATCTGAAGAAAGCGACTCTAATTCAGAAGTGAATGCTGCTGATAAAAGCAGGACAGAATATTTGTATGAAGATCCTGAGATGGAGAGAAACAAAGACAGTCCTACTGAAGAAGGTGTTTCTACAGAGGCTGAAGGGATAATGTGCTATCAGTATGAAGGGGAAGTTGAAGATCTCAAGCCAAGCGATACGGATAGAGTAGAAGTTTCACAGCCTCCCTCTGTGGATGCACTGCATTCAAAAATTAAGCAGAGGCTGGCTCAGCTTCACATATCTACAGATTTTAACTTCACATCCGGTCTGGCTGCACAAGCTGCTGCCAGGTCTTTCTCTTTTACTACAATGCAGGAACAGACTTTTGGAGATGATGATGATGAGGATGAAGAGGAGGAGAAGGAGGAAGGGAAGGAGCAAGAACATGAAGACCTGATGGAAGATTTTAGGTATGAAGGTGGTGGCTCTGAGAGTGAAGGAGAAGTACAAGCCTGATCTGAACTTTTAAAAACCAACAACAGACAATTTGGTAGGAAAAAAGAAAAACAAAAAAACTAACGTGGGGGTCTGAAGTTAAAAATGCTGAATGGAGAAAAAGAAAAATAAAATTTAAAAAAAAAAAAAAAATTGGGAGAACTAAATGTAATATGTCTTGTTCCCTAAATCTGAGACACTAAATGGGACTTCTGAGTATGTGGAAAATTTGCAGGTAAGACAACTTTAAGCTGCAACCACTAAGCAGTCGGCTGTTGCCTTTTTAAGATCTTAATGATGAGTTTTGGAATTACCTTCGTGTTTTCTGGTTTATTTATTTATATCATGAAGTGCTGTTGTTGTTTTTCTAAAAAGAATGAAAAACAATGTATTGAATTACATCAGACTGTCTTCTGCTTTCTGATTTTGTTGTCTTGAAATCAAACGTTAGTTCCAATAGAAAAAAAAAAAAACAGGGCATTTGTTTTGGAAGAATCTGAACTGTTCCCTGTGATCTTCCTCCACCACTGCTTGTGTCCACAGTGAGTTGGCTGAGCCACCGTAGACACTGGTGAATCTGTGGCTTGTGATGCTCCTGGCTAAAACAGAGTCTTAAGTAAAAGCTTGAAAGGTCTTGTATTTTATGTGTCCTGGGGAGTGGGACTGAAATGCATGAAGTTGGTCGTACTTCATGTTAAGGTTTATAAAGAATTTTATGAAAGGTTAATAAATGATTCATAAATGTTGTAATTCATGTTAGAGAAATGTGTAGTACGCGCTAGGGAGGGTTTTGAGCTAATCAATATAAGGTACTATAGATGAGTAGAAGCAATTTGTTGGGTTGATAATAGGTGAGAATTAAATAGCTATTTAGTAAAGCTATTAATCCTTTGTTAACCTTTTATAAATTGAGCCTTAATATGTTTGATTTGTATATTACTCTTTGTCCAGAAGCAAAATTATCGGACAACTTATACAGTATTTTCCTTAAATGATGTATTTGCTTTTCCCTAATGTTCTTTCATTTTTCTCTTAGAGAACAACTATAATCTCTGTGATTAAGATCCATGATAGAACAGGAATTACCTGTTTTCTAAGGTCTATCTTATAATTTAGTGGACATCTAAGCGTCACTGTCCACTTACATGTTGTGCTAAGGGATGTGGTTTAGTGGGGAAGTATTGGTGGTACATGGATGGTTGGACTTGGATGATCTTGGAGGTCTTTTCCAGCCTTGGTGATTCTATTTGAGATTATGTATGTTGTTTTTTTCTGCAGTGGTGTTAGGAAAAGCAGCAAGCTGGTATGGCAATGGTTACCTCTCCGAGGAGCTGGTTAATGGTTTTCCTGCCTTCTCTTCCTTTTGCTCTCAGATGCAAAATGAAGCGAAGGACTCATGTCTCTGATGGTGAGAGAACAGCCTCTTAGTGTGGATGTGGATAAACTTGCAGACACAGAATGCCTCAGCAGTTACTTATTAACTGTCTCTTAAGGCTTGCTGATTTTTTTAGAATAGAGGGTGTGGAGATGCCAGTGGTTCAGAGCAGTATCTTTCCCTGGGTGCTGTCTTGAGAAGTGGGGAAGCTAACGAAGGTTAGCAGGTGAGGATGGGACTCTTGATCATATGTCAGGAAATGTGCTTTCTTTCAACCACACTCTCCATCTGCTAGTAATTTTGTGTGATTGCTGCAAGTATGTACGTTTTATCCACAGTTCTTATAGAGTTGGATATCAATTTATAGAGAAGGCTGTATGTGATTTAAGCTATTCTTTCACAATATAATATCTGTCTTCTCCCTCACAGACAAAAAAGAATGTTTTGACGTACTTCACTAACCAGTAACACTGGATTTTGTATTCCTAATTACGTGCAACTGGGAGCTGAGTGGAGTGGTTGGGTGACTGGAGGTGGGAATGGGATTAGGGAAGATGCTTCTCAAAGTACATCCAGAAGCCAAGCCTCCTCTAAGTGGCAGGATGTATTCTTCTCTAGGCCCATAAAGGTTACAATAAGTTGATGAAAGACTATTTTATTTTCTCTGTGGTAAGCAATCGAGTCTAGAACAACTGTTTTGGATAAGTGGTGTTTGAAGCAATGCCCATGCTTCTGAAAAATAAGTCTTCCTCATCCTTGACTTGAGATCCTTGATCCTTCACTAAGTGCCCAGATGTTTTTTGTTCCTAGCTAACTGTTCTGATTGCCCAACTGTGTGTTCCATTAATGCTTTTCCACAAGGTCACCTACCAATATCTTATTATCTGGTACTGTGTATCCCAAAACTGATTCTTTTTTCACCTAAACTTAGTTCACAGTGGTAGATGGCTGTGATACCAACCTGGAAAAATAATCAAATTTAGAATACGAGTTATAACTCTTTTCACAGTTTTGGGTGAAATCAGTAGGCACATGAGTTCTTTGCAGTGCTACTAAAATAGATTTCAGATTTTACATCTGTAAGAGATGCTAGTTCTTCATTCCTTTGCTGCAGTCCTTAGCAAAAGAAGGAAAACAGACCTTGCCAGCTCATTTGGGACCTAGCTTAAAAATATGCTGGTCTTGGTAATAAAACTGGCCTCCTAAGAAACCCCATCTGCCATTAGTTGTTCACTTTCACCCATCAAATGGGTTCAACACAAGTTTTTGTGCCAGTGTTATTAATCAGCCTACTTAGTCAACCTGGTCCAAAAAAACAAACCTTTTTAGAGTTCACTTTTACGTCTCTTATTCCAATGATGCAATTTACAGCACTGACCCCCAAACTGCTGTATTGGCATATACTGTGTTACTTGCAAGAGGCTCAGGATTGTTCACATTTATGTTACTGGCAGAGACTATGTACTGTGAAATTACACTTCAATGTTAGAGATGAGTATGCTGAAAGTATTGCCTTTTGGAGCAACCTCTGATTTCTACTTGGATGGATATATTTTCTGCAAGAAAATTAATTGATCTGTACTCTTACTTAGTACAGTCTTAGAAGTTGTATAAATGAACGTCTGTGCTCACTTGCTTTCTCTCCCCATAATCGCATTATATGTAACTGCCATCAGGTCATTTATTTTAATTTACTGAATATACTCCCTGCATAAAAATTTGGCTAACAGTCCACAGCTTGCAAAGCATAGCTTCCTTTTATTTCATAACTAGGTTCTGTCTACATATAGTCTGTTACGATCCAGAGTCCCTCATGATAATGTCATCTGACAGGACTGTGTGTACATGCTGTAGATTCCTTTAAGAACCTGACAGATTCTTTTTCTGCATTTAAAATAATGTGTAAACACACTGAACCATGTATTAGAGCTGAAGAGTTGTGTTAATATATTGAGCGTGTCAAGGTCTAAGTGCTGTTCCGTGTTCTTTGGCTCATGAGCGTAGGTAGGGATTTTTGTAAAAACAGAACATTTATTTCTTAGTGCTTTGTAACTTCTTGAAATACGTTAATCAGGAAATCCACACTAAGTAATGAAGCAAGCCAAAGGGTATCGCAGCCAAAATTCTTTGTGAAGAGCAGAGCTAACAATAACTGTATTCCATTCCCAGTTAGGAGCTTTGTGAAGTTGGAAAGAAACAAGCAATGACATAGAATTAAATAATTTCTTTTCTTCCTATCTATCTGGAAGGCATTCCAAAGATGGTATTTGCTTCTTAGGTTGGATTTTAATCTACGACTGCATCTTTGCTGTAGCATAACTTTACAGCTAAAGATACAGGTAGGAGGTAAAGACTTAAATGGGGACAGAGATCTATAACAAAGACAGTAGTGGTTCTTTTTTTTTTTTAGTGTATATCTTTGTGACATAAAAGTAACACTGATGTAATGGCAACATATATTGAGAATTACAGACAATACAGACTCTTTCAGATGGAGTGGAATGTGCCTGTGTCAATTGTAAGCAAGACTGGCTAACATGGTAGGTCTTCTGGTTGCACTAACAAGGCAGTTTTACTGCTGACAGAGGGTTTCTAGATATCACTGAGCCTTGCATTTTGTTACAAAACCTCAAGACGACATTAGGAAGGGTGGCCATTTTTAATGACATTTCAGACTTTGCCCTGAATGCATTTATGTTTACAGCACTGGAAATTTTATGTGCATCTGAACAGCAGAATTTGCAATTGTCTTACTAATCTCTCTGCTCATTTAAAAAATAAGAATAAACGGTGGACTGTGTAGAGTTGGTGGCCTACACTGAACTTTGTAATCTTGTTGTCTGCCTTCTTTTTCAAACAGGAACAAGGGCTCAAGTATACTAAGCTTTTAAAGTGTTTAGTGAAGGGCTGCTCTGCAAGTGGCTTGTTCCCATGGTTAACTACTCTTTAGAATGAAGAATTGTTTTCATAAGACAAAAGGGTTTTTTTGTAGTGTCTTATCTGAAAAAAAAAAAAGAGTAAGAGAAAGGCACTTGGTCAGTGCAGAGGGTTGGGCCACTCTCATATCTCATCTGTGGCAGGGACTAATAGCAGATGGCTGAGAGAAGGGTACAAAGAAGGGAGCTTATGTAGTGGTGAGCTGCTTCTCAGGGAGTTGTTGAGCCAGTGGAGGTAGCTGTCAGCTTAACAGCTCACGATGGAATTTTCTTCCAAACAATTGAACAAATTTGCTCAGACTCACATTTGGTTGATTATTACTAGTTCCAATGCCATGATGTGCTCATCTTTTTATGGTCTTCCATGAGCTAGGTTTGTCAGTATTATGTTTGTTTGTTTGTTTTTTAATTGAGCAAGCCCACTTATGTTGGCTCATCCACAGAGGTCGTGTTTTCCACATTTTCATTGCTTTCCTTAGAAATCTGTCCTGTGCTTTGATGTATAATGGCCAAAGTTTGCTGCAGTGCTCCAGATGTAACCTCAGCAGTGCTGAGTATGGAGTAAAAATCACCTCCCATAAAACATAGAACCATTAAAGTAGTTCTGAGTCCGTCTAGGAACAAAGTCTTCTCAGATCTTTTATCCCTAGATACTATGATGATAAATGAAAATATTTGGTCTGGTGGAGGAGAAATATTTATTCACTCTCAGCAGGATTTGGTTGGACAGCGTTTTTCTTTGCTAACAAAACAAGGAGTTGTTAAATCAAAATGGTCTTTCAACAGCTGCCACCTGGTCTAACAAAAACTAAAGATGCCAAACAGCACTTGTTTAAATCCCAACGCTTGTTTAAATAGGTCTGATTTTTCAGACCTATTCTGATCTCTGATGAGTAGGCATGTATCACAGAATACATTATCACACAACAATGTGATGGAGAATATGTAGGTATCTGAGATCAAGCTGAAGGCTTCTGACTCATTTGCAAACTGCTTGGAGGTGTGCTTTATTCTCATTACATTTAATTCTTTAAACTGTGTGCTTTTATTCTACCACCTTGAATTCTAAATGCCAAAAAAATGTGTAATTTGATGTATTTGACTTGAAATTTTGTGCACTAACCAGGTAAGGGGTAATGGAACTGTGATGATAAGGCATGACCGTAGGTAGGGTTAAATCTGCCTTCCATGAATTTTTTCTATGTGTACAGATAATACAGTTTGAGCTACAGCTACTCAGTATGTAACTGTTTTAGATTGTCTGCCTAACCTGTCACACTGCCAACTCTTAAGTCATTGGCAGGTTTGTAGGAATAAAATTTGATCCAACAGCTTACATGCTCTGTTAGCCCATTTCACACTTTATGAAATTACTACAGGATTTTGGAGCAGTGACTGTAATTTAGAGGAAGAAAAGGGTTGTTACTCTGTTACAAAGT